ATTCACACATGTAAAGCCATAAACCCTGCATATTTAGGCCGAGTTCTTCTCTCATTTGGAAAACGCTGTCAATCTTTACTGAACTGAGCTTTGGAGATGTAGACAGACTAATAATAAAGGATTATTCAAACATGTGTGAATGAAACAAAACACAACTCCAGATATTTTTGATGAAGTAACAACATTACATTTAAGCAGTTTAGAGTAATACAGTCTTTAAGCAGACTCCAAAACATACCATTTGTTGAAAGAAGAGCATTTCTGTTGCTGTTTTACATTTTGCATATGATTCAACTATTTTATATACTTGACATTCTGTTTAGGTTTTTACTCCTTGAACAAATGCGTATTTTCCTTCTACTATATCACAAAAACATGAATGGAAAAATCTTGAAATGCGGCGTGGGGAAGCTGGCCGAGTGAGACTGCTCATTTGCACTTATGGTATTTAGTGGGCTGGTGTTTATCACATTGTGGAGACTAAAATACTGTATGTTTACATGATCTGTTCAGGAGATCTGCCTCTCATGGGGATGAACTCATGACGTAAATCCTTTATTATTACATCAACAACATGATTTAAATGTCAGATATGGGTTTAGATAGGTCAGGCAAGTAGGGATTATACTGTTAGGATCAGTTACAAAGAAATTCACAGACAGCCAACACGTGTGAGTGTGCAAAAGAGTTCTCCCAGCATGCACTTTGTCTGTACAGATCTTACTAAGCACATCTGTGTAGAAACTTAAGTGCAGAGTTCAGGGATACTCACAAAACTTTAAAGGTAAAACAAAAAGAAGGCACTGTCATCACTATCTGTGCCCTGAGAGGACGTCCCTGCATCAGTGGGATCATATAAGGACTAAAGAATAATTCTTTATTCATGTTAAAAGGTGCACTGTGTAACTTTTCTACACATAAATAAATTGGAAAACATGCATTCTACTGTGAGTGGGCCTCTCCAAAGAGCTGACCTGTATGTGTGTATATATATATAATATATATATATATATATATATATATATATATATATATATATATATATATATATATATATATATAGTATATATATATATATATATATAGAGTAGAGAGAGAGAGAGAGAGAGAGAGAGAGAGAGAGAGAGAGAGAGAGAGAGAGAGAACCAACTAGACATAGTGGTAGTGGATAAGCAACAGAACAAAGCCGTGGTGGTGGACATTGCAATACCAAGTGATGGTAATATCAGGAAAAGGAAGACGGAAAAACTAGAGAAATATCAGGGGCTCAAGGAGAAGCTGGAAAAGGCCTGGAAGATGAAGGCATCAGTGGTGCCCGCGGTGATCGGAGCACTCGGGGCTGTAACCCCCAAACTGGAAGAGTGGCTACAGCAGATCCCAGAAAAAACAACAGACATCTCAGTCCAGAAAAGTGCAGTACTAGGAACAGCAAAGATACTGCACAGAACTCTCAAGCTCCCAGGCCTCTGGTAGAGGACCCGAGCTGGATGAGGGTGAGAGAGACCTACCCCTGTGGAAGGTGAGGAGCACTGGTGGCATTTCAATTAGAAGAGGAGATGAAGAATATATATATTCTCCATATCTTTTTGTAGTTGAAATGCCACCAGTGCTCTACAGACACTGGTCAAGTCAGTTTGCATAATGTAAATCTGTCTGACGTCAGGTCAAATTACCATCAAAGAAAAAAACAACACTGAAAGCTAGATTAGGTACCGCTATAACTGTATTCTTATTTGTATTCTTGTTTTCACAGTTGAATTATCTGTACCTCTTGCCAACACTCCTGCGTGTAGGAGTAAATTTGACATGTATTGATTAACTGAATGGACGGACACCAGACAGAGAGCTCATTCATCAGTGGGAGACGGGGATTTGCTGTTTGCTGGCCTCATATCCTAGCAACCCTGGCGAAGCGGTTGCTATGCCGACAGCTGATGGTGAGAGCAGGAAGGAGATTGAGTTACAGACTGGTCCAGGACCCCTCTCAATGATTCAGGTTACAGATAATACAGTAGTACAGTACGACAATGCATTAACAGACAACTTTCAGACCAGTCATGCAGAGGTGGGTGGAACAGTCAGAAGCGAGTCACTGTCAAAAATAATGAAACCCTAATATTCCAATGCCAAGTCATATATAATGATCAAGATTTTAGTTTAAGGGGCCTATATTACTCTATTTTCATGTTATAATGTTGTTTCATCATCACAAACAGACCTGGAGTTGAGTTTTGTCTCATTCACACATGTTTAACTCACAAACTGTGCATTTTAACTCTGTGTTCTTCTGTCAAACTGAAAACACTCTGTTCAGCCTTGTGTCATGTGGTAATACAGGAAGTGCTCCACTGTGTTTTTAATCTCCATACACTTTCACTGGAATAATTTGGATTATTTCAGTCCTGGAATTGCCAGTCTCTACTAAAATACAGGTAAAAGGAAGCCAGGCTGGCGCCACCTAGTGCCTCCGCTCAATTTAATTTCTCTCCAACAACTAGTTCAGGAATACACTAGACGATTTGCAAGAAACCCAGAAGTTGTAGACCATTCACCGGCCAGTCAGCAAAGAGCTGTGAAGCGCCTGTCTGGGTCCCTTTAGTGGTACAGCACAATAGTAAACAAAGCGGTCGAGATGGATGTAGACGAAGCCATACATTCTGTGTGGCAACGATTCCTGAGATCAAGGATTTAAAGCCGGAACAAAAAGAATGTTTAGTGAATTTTATCAAGGGGAAAGACGTTAGTGCCCTTCGTCCTATGGGATTTGGCACATTACATACGTCATGACCAAATAGCCCTGACTGACTAAATAAAAAAACACCCGCCTACCAGAGGTATCTGTTAACTTGAAAACTACCACTACACAACATCACAAGGTGAAACTGAGCATTTTGAGGTTTGGAGATGTATGATTAATGATGGACTAATAAAAAAGGGTTACTCAGACATGACAAAACATAACTCCAGGTCAATTATAACATGACTAAAAGTTGACTAAGAGAGTCATTTTTGTGTAATATAAGACCTTTTAAACATACAAAGTAGGCCAATTCTGCCAGTACTCCTGACTAAGTAGTAAAAACAAGAACTGCTCCTGCAATTTACCCAGCTTCATAGACTTTTTCATGCCCGCTAATTACAGGAATTAAAAACATTTATTTGGGAGCCACCATAAACAATTCTCTTAACTTAACAAATAAAAGTGCCCATATACCAGGGATAAGCATTTAAAACACATGCTTTTAATGATGTTGCTGGGCTTATGGCAACACTTGTGTACCAGCTGTTTCAATGATGACTGTTATTTCCAAATGCACATGTGCAGTTAGTGGTGGGGGAGACTATACATTAACTATTTCCAAACAGGAAATAACTCCAGCAGAGTGTCTCTACGGGAGCTGGACTGGGACAAACCTCTCATCTGTGTCTGTCAGCGAATGCCCAATGATTCCATCAGGCGCCATGAACCTCCCACTGCAGTTCATACATCTATATGATTCACTGGGTTCAAATAACAGCCTGTAACGTAATGGTCCATGTATGTCCTGGCAATCACTGGACACTATAATCACAACTGTTATCTCTCAATCAGTTACATAATGCTCACAAGATCTGAGTCCTGTTTTGAAAGGTTACATAAAAAAAAAAAGAAAAAATATTGTTTAGTTATAGCTGGGAGCATCTTACGTCACTGCTTTTATTTTTACGGCTTCTATACTGTTAAAGGCTAGTGCGACTTTCAAAATAAAATGTAATTATATAGGCAGGGGGCAGTTTGAATGCAAGAAAGGCTGGATGGTGTATGTGAACTAATAAAATATTTTACAGTATATGAATTTGATCATCTATGTCCACTTAGTCAAAATTAAAAGACGAAAAATAATTTGCATATTTATATTAAGGCATTTGTTAAGTTGTAAAAATTAAGCAGACAAAACTGGACCAAACATTAGGACTAAATTAAGATGATTATGATAAAAAGTGACATTTAAAAAGCTTATTTTAAAGCTGCACTACGTAACTTTCCTGATGGAGGATCTGTCAAATGCTTTTCTCCACTGATATGTTATTGCTTTGTCTGGAATGTTTCGTACTATGGCATTAAACCTTTCTATCTTCACATTAACATCTGTGGAGAGTAGGGGTGTAACGATATCCAAGTCTCACAATACGATATCATCACGGTATGAACCTCAGGGTACGATATTTATTGTGATATCATGGGAAAGCTCACGATACGGTGGGGAGACTCACGATTAGAGATGTTACAATATCCAAATCTCTCGGTACGATATTTTCACGATATACATCTCATGGTACAATATTTATTTCAATATTTTGTGAAGGCTAACAAAGCTGTTAACGTGCTACTTTTTCCTCTTAAAATACCCTGACAAGACTTAATCCAAAGAACTAAGACTTAAAAGTGCTTAGAACTGTTATTTCTTCTTGTAGTCTACACTGAAATGGAACAAAGGATCACGGTCTATGTAGTTCCCTCTGTCTTTTCTTAGCTATTGCTGCACCATAACTCCTAATTTAAGCAATTAATTTAAAGACTTTTTTTTATTGTGAGGGTCCATATTATTGTGAGAACTTTGACAAAACGATATCACAAAATTTCAGTTATAGTTACATCCCCAGTGGACCACCTGTAATTGAATAAATGTAAAGTAGAGGCGTTTAAAATCATATTGTGGGACATTCCAGGCAGAGCAATGACATATCCATAGAAACAAGCAGGTGAAGTTACATAGTGCACCTTTAAGTCAAATCTTTTTCAAAATCAAATCTTTTTTTTTTTTCATTCATAAATTTATAAAAACAACTGTACATACAATGGGAAGCGTTGGATAACTTCTAGCAGAGTATGGCACTGACACCCATGAGTGATTCAATGCGGACCATATAAATACGCAGACAAACTAACGAGTCTTGCAGTGAAATACAAAGCAGCAGAGAGCCCATTCACACCCACAGACCACTCTCTCCACTCTCACCATCTCTATCCTGAGTTTTCGGATCTTCTCGTCCAAACTCCGCGTGCCCGTATCCTTGCTCGGGTCGTGCGCAACGGTCATCTTATTGGCGTCTCCCCGGTGAGATGTGGCCTCTTCCCGCATCCACCTGAGCAGTCCCTCGGGGGTCTTCAGTCCAATTTTCACCTCGATGTCTTTGAGATCCGGGACATTCTCAGTGACGGTGCTGTTCTCATCCATTCTTGATAAAAGTGGCGTGCGTAAAAATGCGTAAAAAACAAAACAAAACAAAAAAATGACAGAAATTACGTCCTGTACCTCTCTGGGTAAATGTTGTTGATGTTACAGTCACTTCCTATAGGCGCGTGCAAAAGACATCCTCTGCGACTCCAGCTGAGTTGGACTGCGCCAAGAGATAAACAATCTGGCAGCATCAGCACGAGGGCACGTCCGAGCAGAAAAACGCAAAGAAATCCCTTAAAACTATTATCACTCTAAAAAATACCGTATTATTTTATTGTGAATCCTTTACGCGCTGGATCAAAACAAACCGGTGCCCATCAAGTGAAGATAGTAAAGCAATTCACCAAAAGACGTTTTCCAAATAAGTCCACGCAAATGAACGTACAGAAGGATGTGCCGGGTGGATCCAGACAGTGGCCAGGTCTGGTGGGCTCGTCCCGTCTGCTGTGAGGGGCTTCTAACGACAGCGGTGGTTACATTGCGCAGATTCCACCTGCATGATGACAGCGAGCAGTAACCGCAGAGTGGGACCATTCAGTGCGTAATGTCCACGCCGTCAAGCCACGTACGACACAAAGAGACGCATGGTGGTTCTTTCAGAGTAAAAGCGCGAAGAGGGGAAAGAAGAAATGTCAAAATAAAGGAAAACCGTCTCATAAGGGAAATGCTACCGACTTGTGTCATGAAATTCCATTGCAAGTCAGAAGTACAGGTCTAAGAACAAACAAGAAAAACAATGCATCATCTACTAACTGCTGCTGTGGTAATAGGCTATTGTTAAGAAATTAATGGTCTGAGAGATGTTTTTTATGTTTTTTTTAAACAGAAAGTTTTGCCTAGGCCTCACAATCAATATCGTACTGTGAGATGCATATCGTGATAATATCATACCAAGAGATTTGGATATAGTTACATCCCTAATAGTTACCATAGAGTTTCCAAAATGAATTAATATTAAATGTTTGATAGCTCAAGGCTAATCAGCTACATGGTAACTAATAACAACAAGACCTATAATTTTATTTACAATCTGTTTCTGAATCTTTGTGGACCACAGATATTTCGAATCTTGGGTTTTAAACTGCCTTTTCGACAATCACATAGCTGCTTAGCCTGTCTTTGAAATTTTCTAAGTATCTATTTGAAAAATTTATGAAAATTTTAGTCAAAATCAAAGATGAATTTTATTGTCTAGCGAAATATCACTTTTTAAAAACATTTTTTTGGACCTGTCAGGTTTTGGGTGCCTTCAAGTAAAAAAAACAAAAACAAAAGTTGGTCAAATATTTACATCTGGGGTGGTCTGAGGTTGTTTCGAGACGTTTCCAGCAAGTGTTGAGGAATTTCAAAATTTTGTCAAATTTGAGCAAAAATGTTGTCAAATTTGAGCCAAAACAACAGGGCCGGACCTGTAAAAAATTAAAACACACAAACCACACATGCACTGCCACACAGGGAACACAAAATGTAATAAGTCTTGTGTTTGTCTTATAATAAATAAGACAAACACTAAAATATACAGGCAGACAGACAAAGGACATCTGCATTTCCAACAAGAAACATTTTACGTCTGGAACTGGAGCAGTCAGTGTTGAGCTCCATATAAAGTAAGCCAATTATAACTCAGTATTATTCCTAAACAGTAGGCCTTTTAGACATCAAGTGAAAAAAGGTTCTAACTGATAATGCACCATGAAGCCATATGGACATGAATATTCAAATGTCCATCTTGAAGAAGAAGCTATCATCGCAGGCTCTGTCTCAGGTACACATCTTTAGTAAGTAAAGTAAATCAAAAGATGTTTTCTCTCCGCATGCACTTTTAAAATCGTCCTTTCCTCTACCTTTATTCTCTATTACACCCTCTAATATATCGCCAAGTCATAGTCTAGTCCACTGTCTGCCCACTGCGCTGGTGTCAGCTCTGATTAAACACATGTTCATTCAGGAAACAGTCTCTGGTGTGGGAATAGGACGACCTCCATCACCAAGGTCACTATAGCAACCCTCAGATCTGGATTATAAAGTCATATTAAACACTTTTACCATATACATTTCATTTAAAAGCAGTGGGATTACTGTTAGGACCCATCAAGTCTCTGGTGCTAGTTATAGATTTTTTACTGGTGCAGAGTTCGTTCTTGGGTTAGACTTTGGAGAATGTAATTAGTGTAATGTGCTCTGACAGAGGTGTGACTTTGATTGCATTTGCTCACAGTATACTTTATGACACTGTCCCCCTCATGTCCTGTATCTACGGCCAATCCAGGGGCTCTTTATGAGAAAAACTGTACAGAAGAGTGCAAAAAGAACAGGTCTCTGCTACATCTAGCTCACATCAATTCTTTAATATATAATGTATTTCACTTTATTTCAGTCTTTCTTATGTAGTGTAACAGGAGGTTTAATTTGGTCAGAAATATTTCTTTTGATCACTACCAACCATGGTCTAATTTATTGCCTGATCAGTCATCTATCCATGGGTTTTAGAATTATGAAACACTTAAATACACTTAAACACTTCAAAAAAGCTACACCACCTCTTCTCCTCTGTAGCTCAATAAAACAAGGTTCAAAATAATAAATACATTCTATCTCTGCAAATGAAAAATGGAGAAAGGACTGGTTTTAAGGACAATATCATTCACAAAAACTTCTTCTTAAGGATTCTTGATTAAAAGCTGGTTGAAAATGCAAAGTTAACTGTAATTTAGAGTGTTTTATATTTATTTTGCCATAGTGATTAACAATTTAAAACAAAATAATACACTTTTTGAACTCAAAAGGTTAGTGGAGCAATATCGTAGCACCCTGTATGTCTATAGAAATATGATAGTAGTAGAGGTGGGAAAAGATGCAATTTTCACAAGATGAGACAAGAAGACACAAGAATGAGATTTTAACATACTTTATAATAAATATTTTTGCTGTAATTTTAGAAAATGCTTATTGGAACTACAGATTCTGTGTAACTTAGGTATAAGAATCTCAGAAAGTCATTTTCCTCAAGTGTGTACAATCTTTTGGCAATTTTATCTCGCAAGATCTTGTCCTATTATCTATATATAAGTACAATAAATTCAAAATACACTTAACTATAATAATAATACAGACTTTAGAAGAAAGATTGTGGATTAAAGTCTAAACTAACTGAGCTCGTTTGCTGGACACTGAAATCTGACCTTGCAAAAAAGCACAGAGTCGACCCTAATGAAGTGTTTTGAGCAGTGGGCAGCGGCTGGGGCTTTTCTTCAGATGATTGATTAACAATTTGTCTAAGAGTGAGACAGGAAACACACACAATCTATGGAAGCTCATGTGGTGGTTTTACTAAAGTCCCATGTGCAATTGAAACCGGAGCAGGCAGAGTTAGTATTGTTAATGTGCAATTTTTTTTGTTTGTTAAAGTAAGAAGCAACTGCAAATATAAATAATTAGTTTCAGCATTTGTGGGCATGTTCTTATTCGGGATGGGATGAGATACAATTTCCACAAGACGAGACACAAGATTGGGTTGAGGAGAATCAGACAAAACGAGATATGTTCATCTAACAATTTCTGATTCTTTGGGCTTCACAATTTTGTACGTATGTGATTTCATATTTGTGTTTCCATTTTTGAAACTGTAAGAGATGAAACTCTCCAACACATAACCCTTTTTGTTGAATCTAAATGTGGGGGAAAATCTTGTGACAATTTATTATCTTGTGTTACTAGATCATGTACCATCCCTAAGTTCTTACATATTGTTCTTATATATACTGTCTTGAAACTACAATGTAATTCACGAGAGAAATTATAGTACATTTATTTATTCACAGTGTCTTCCTATAACATCAAAAGGAAAGTCTGTTTTTTAAGATTATGTAAGTGGTTTGAAAGGTCATCTCAGACAGCAGCTTAATCAGTGATGGCACTCGACTATGAAGTGTACATTAAAGTGTCCCTATGTGTCCATGTGACCTCTGACCTTTTGTGTCTGATGTCACTTCTTATGAGGGGCCCATAATCCCCCCTGTGCTTCTTTCACTCCAGACTTAGGTGCATGATCACTTAGTCTCTATTACCTACAACATAACAGCAAAGGCAATGATTATTCTACCATGCAAATACTGTTGCAATTCACAAGAGGAATAGACAGCGAAGAGCGGCTTTAACATTTCAGCACACCCACATGCTATGAGAGAGAATAAACTGTGTGGGAGATTCTGTGTGGGAGATAGGAGATAAGTAAGAGCAGGAGGAGGCAGGATACAGGCTGTTGAGTGAAAAATGCCATTTTGGACAGTCAGTTATGCCATTTTCTTCTGAAATTCCAATATATTCGCAATTCCAAAAATACTACCTAACATAAAAATCTGCAAAGGGTTACACACAGTTGATAAATATAGTAAATAGTATATATAGTATAGTGCTTAAACGTTCAATATTACACAATATTGACTCTTGTGAGCTTTAAGTCATGTTATAATGTTGTTACCTTCTCAAAAACAGACATGGAGTTGTGTTTTGTTTCATTCACACATGTTTGAGTATTCTTTTATTATTAGTCTGTCTACATCTCCAAAGCTTAAAATGCTCTGTTTCACCTTTTTACATTTAGTTCAGTAGAGACAGGAAATTCCAGGGTTGAAATTATCCAAATGATTCTAGTGAAGCTTTATGGAGTTTAAAAAGCACTTTCTGTTTTACTACATGACATCACAAGGTGGAACAGAGTGTTTCCTGTTTGAGAGTAGAACTCCATATGCAGGGTTGTGTAAAACATGTATGAATAAAACAAAACACAACGCCAGGTCTGTTTGTGATGAGAAAACAAAATTATAACATAGATCAGATAATAGTGCAATACGGGCCCTTTAAATGTGCCACCAGCTTGTTTCCGTGGAGATAGACAATATCCAGATTCTTCAGACGGTTTAATTTTGTGTAAACCATCTGACCTCGCAGCATTAGGATTCGTTGGCTTGACGGTAGGTGGATACTTTTTTTATTAAACCAATCATTGCTATTTGGTCATGACATAAGTAATATGCCAAATCCAGTAGGAAGAAGGGCAATAACGTCTTTCCCCTTGACAAAATTCACCAAACATTCTCTTTGCTCCAGCTTTAAATCCTCGCTCTCGGGAATCGTCTACTGCAGTGTTTCCCAAACTTTTTTTCTGGAGACCCATATTTTAAAATTCACAAACCTTCGCGACCCAAGTCAATACATATTATTCATAAATCACAAAATAAAAGTGGATTTGACATTATTGAACATTAATGAGGATATTTTATTGTTGACTGAGTGATCGTGTCTCTCTGAACAATTAGCATTACTGAAGTTTTAAACAAGGAAAAACAGCCATCGAACCAGCAATGAAACATCCATAAGTCGTCTATTTGGACATTAATTGTAGCCACTTTCATTTTCTTTTCAACATTTAATTGGACCAGCAACACTGGAAAAAATAGTCAATAAAATAATTACAAACAGATTAGAAATGTTACAAAACATGTCTTAACATTTCAACATTTGCAATGAGATAGGTGGGCCTGTCTGCATTTTAGCTCCCTCATGTGTTAGAACTGTATATTGCAGAACTACATTCAGATCGTGACAAGGTGACCCCAAAAGAATCTCTTGTGATGCACCTGAAGGTCACGACCCAGTCTTTGGGAAACAATGGTCTAGTGTATTCTGATTCCTGATCTAGTCGCTGGAGAGAAATGAAACTGAGTGGAGGCACTAGGTGGCGCCAACCTGGCTACAATAGACTAACTCTCCAGCGCCATACAGTATTTCTGACTAGGAATACTGCTGGTTGGTCACCCATTGGGTCAAATGCAGAGTACAAATTTGAGAACAAAGCATACTAAAACCTTGAGGCTGTGTGCACATTTTGCGCAATATATAACCTTTAAACTGTGAGACACCACTCACAAACAGCTCACTTACTCTTTGAAAATATAGTGACTTTTACTTAATTGCAGATTTTGGCTCTTGTACACCTGTAGTTATTACATTACTGCAAACACACGCTGAAAACACCTCACTGGTATGTATGTCACAACAACTTGACTTTGAATGCACAAGGCAGTAAGTTCATTTTCTGTAGTTACTCAGCCTGATCGGTCACATTCTTATCGCGGCTACAAACAACTAAAGACCTTGTCAGAATATAATGCGAAAGCTCACATTACAAATACATTACAAACCTATATCTGTACTTTCACTGAATTAGAATTTCCAAAGTACAAGCTTAAATGAAAAACTATTGTATGACTTGATTAATACTTTGAAGTTGTCCCTTGCATCTCTGCACCCTGTCCCTCCCAGAACCTGTAAAACCAGCTGAATGGGGCGTCCACACAGAGAGGATAATTTCACAATACTTTCTGGCTTGCATTGGCTTAGTTTTCTGCTTTGATTATAGGTGCAGGCATGATCCAAGCCAAATCTTAGCTACAAAACCAGCTGCCATGGAAACGAATAGCTCAGAGGACATCGAGTCTCTTATGGAGGACATGGACTATATTCCAGGACATTTTCACCTGGATCTCCATTTGAACTGTGATCCGGAGGGGCCCTTGAAGCTGAGGCACAGAGACACGTATCTGAAACAGGAGAGTTTGAGAGGAGAGCTGGAGGTGGAAGTGGGGTATTTACAGTATGCAGTTAGAAATCTACTCGGACTATTGGCGTTTCATTTGGACCAGCTGGACTCAGCAGAGGAGATCTTCAGGTGAGATTTGAAAAAAGTACTAGAGTACTGGAAAAAATCTCTTAAAGGTGCACTGTGTAACTTTTATGGTTCTTTTCTTTTCTCCATGCTGTTGCTTTTACTGAAAAGTTTCATAGTATGGCATTAAACCTTTCTCTCTTCATGGAGACCAAACCAGATCAAGTTACAGGTCAGATCTGTGGAGAGGCAACCCCGCTCACAATCAGAATGCATGTTTTTTATAGGTATTTTTGAGCTATAAAACTGCTTGTAATTGAATAAAAGTAAGGTAGAGCTGTTTAATGTCATACTGTGGAACATTCCAGGCAGAGCAATGACATATCCATAGAAACAAGCAGGTGACAGACCCCCAACCAAACATAGTGCACCTTTAAATAAGATAATATGTTAATAAGTGCTTCATTTCAGTAGTATTAGTCTAGATTCAAGTATATTTTGACTATCTTAAAAGAAGATTTGCTCATTTTTTACTTATTTGTGTGTAATTTGTTAGCATTAGTCTCCTTTTTTTCTTATTTCAAGTGTTCTTGTTCTATTGGTAAATCTTGTATGTCACTTTTTAGGTATAAATATAATAAAATTAAAGTTGTTTCTTTTCAATATAGATGTTTTTATTACACTAAAAGCATAGAACAAAATGTGCCTTAACTCTGAGTGAGCTTGCATATCTCCACAAACCTGACTTATCCAGTCTGGTGTAGGGCTTCCTCCTGCTTGTTTCCAAGAAGATATTGTTCCTTTGGCTACAATATTCCAGAGTATTGCATAAAACGTATCTTGGAGAATAGACAATGTTCTGAAGTATGGTTTTAACTTTCTATTACCATGGAATCATGCAGGCGACTTTACATCTTCAGAACGTTGCATGCTATTACTTTAAGATGTAAGTCAAAATGTATACAAATGAAGATTAATAATACTTCATTTGAACACTTGATTGTATTGTATTTTTTGTAGTTAGTAGTTTCATTGTGATTTTCAATACGGCTATCCAAATATGACCACTACATTTAATTCCACATATCCCCTTTAAGATCATTTCTACTTTGACTTCAGTAAATGAGAGTTGGAACAATATTTTTGGGGTCAATATTTAACGTTTATCTTTCTACTAGTGGGTACTTTATGTAGAGGGTTGAATAAACAACTGTGAAGACTCATAGATACAACTTAACTGTTAAACCCATTCATTTATAACATGTTTTTTAACAATATGGCTGCTTTAGAAGAGGGTTTACTGGGATTATCTTGGTAAATGGTCTTTGATTCAGCTCCATAATGTGTAATTTCAAGATTATCTTTTTTTATCATCTGTATTTTCTTCAGCAATACACTTCGAAATGAGTTATTGTGACTGGATTAATTCTACTAGATCTAAAGTTGGCCTAAGACAGAATTATAAACTCTCAGCTACAGTTAAACCATCTTTAAAAAACATTACACAATTGCTTTACTATTACAACGAAATAAGATTAAGTAAATCTACATGTATTCAGTGCACTTAATGTACATTTCACTTTTTTTTTTCCATATTTAAGATCATAGATTGCACTGAATTACAATAAACCGCCTACATTATTATCCTAAAAAGTTGCAGAATGATCAAAATGAGAGTAATTTTCAGTTAAAAAGTACAAAAGTAGAAAAAATATAAATATAACTGTAGTTTTCATAATGGAACTTAAAAGCAGCAGTGTATGCAAGGAAAAATGTTAAGGAAATGTTATAAAAGTCTATGCAAAGTGAGTACTAGTCTAGATCTAGATCTCAGTACTATATCTGCAAATTTTCATTATAACAAATAAACAAAGCAGACTTATGTAATGTAACTAAACTTGTTACATACTGTGGTCCAAAGCAAGAAAAATGATCTGATGAAGGCTTTTTTGCCGAAACGTTATTTAAAAATAAAAAAAAGGCTTTTGGACATCAGCCACCTGAGTGTGCTATGCATTTTTTCACTTGTATTTTGCTGTTTCTTGCATTTGCACCTCTACATGAACCTTGGTGTGCGTTTTCTGTAACTGAACTTAACACAAATGGAAAAAAAAATCAAAGGTGCACTATGGAGACTCTGAGAAATCTAAATAAAAAGTATTGAAAAGTAATGATTCATGCATTGTTGTTATTATTAGGCTGAATTCAAAGAGTATGTTTTCATATATAGGCGTGTATCAGTGAATAAAAAGAAGTTCCACCCATAACTATAAAAACTAACTGACAAAGCTATATGCAGTTTGTAAGTTCTTTATGTACTTAAAGGTGCAATGTGTCACTTTTTGTTTGGCGGTCTATCACCTGCTTGTTTCTTTGAATATGTCATTGCTCTGCCTGGAATGTTCCACAGTATGACATTAAACAGCTCTACCTTACGTTTATTCAATTACAGGTGGTTTTATAGCTCAAAAATACTTAGGCAAACAGGCATTCTGACTGTGAGCACGGTCACCTTTCCACAGATCTGACCTGTAACTTGGTCTGGTTCGGCCTACATAAATAAAAGAAAGGTTAATGCCATACTGTGAAACATTCCAGACAAAGCGATAACATTTTGATGGAGAAAAGCATTTGAAGGACCCGACCCTCCACCAGGAAAGTTACACATTGCAGCTTTAAAGAATACCAAAATTAACTTCTCATACTTGTGTACTTACACTTATTTGCATATTTATCAGCCTGAAATATTAAAAAGAACTGTACCTGTACCTATTTTTTGTCTTTAAAAATATGAAAAAGGTCCCTATTATTCACAACAATGAGTTCTAAAGTATTTTTTCACAAGGCTAGATCAACATGTGAAGCAATAAAACGCTGTATAATTAGACTTCCAAATGACTGAATCATCTGTCTGTGTCTATTTATCCTTGAATTAACTACTACAGTGTCACTGTAAAACATATGAATAGGCAGTTTTTTTGCATTTTCAGTGTCTGTGTAATCCATCAGTGGTCCAGGTAGGATTCATAGCAAAAGAAAAAACTGATTCTTTCATTTGGACAAGATTTTTTTGAGACAATAAAATTCCCTGTAACTGAATAAATGCAAGTATTATGCAGTAATATAATGCAATACTCAAAAGAAGTTACATGCACAAGTTTAAAACATAATGCTTTTTGTGCTGCAGGAGCATTTGTAAGGAGGACCCCGGTAACCTGAACGCGTGGGCTAACCTGGGGTACGTGTATGACCGCCTGGGCCGTGAGCTGGAGGCGGGGGAGTGTGTGGAGCAGGTGTCCTCTCTCATGGGGCTGGGCGGAGGAGAGATGAGCCAGGCTGAGTCCAGGCTCCTGGCAGCTCGGTGTCTGGCGGAACAGGCTTATGTGTACCCCTACGACGTGGAGCTGGAGAACGAAGAGGAGCTCAGGGAGAGACTGACCTCAGCCCTCACACTGTACAACCGAGCGCTGGACTACGGGGGACAGCTGGTGAGATATGGGGGGGAAATGGGGATTAGTCCATCTACCGTGAAAATCTGTAACAGCATCACAGGATGGTTCAGTATGTTCAGTTTTGACATTTTGGAGCATCTTATTTTTCTTTTTCATAAACTGTGTGAAGAGTTTAAAATGTATTACTTTGAATTACTTACAACGGCTATTATTAGTCAGTGTTTTTCAGAAAATGCTTCTGTTGACAGCTTCTGTTGACACTGCTACTACTTCAACTACAATTCCTGCATTTATTTTACATCCCAAATACTCATTTGCAATACTGGTTTACAAACACATATTACTTAAAAGTCCTACATTATGCAAAGTTGACTCTTGTGAACTTTAAGCCATGGTAGAATGCTGTTACCTCAACAAAAACAAACCTGGGGTTGTGTTTTGTTTCATTTACACATTTTTGAGTAATCCTTTATTATTACGTCAGTACATCTTCAAAGTTCAAAATGCTCTGTTCCACCTTGTGATGTCATGGAGTGGTAGTTTTCAAGTCAACAACAACCTTTTACCTTTAGTTCAATAGAGATTGAGATCCAAATGATTCTAATGAAGGTGTATGGAGTTTAAAAGTGCAGTGGAGCACTTATTAGCACTGTATAACCACATGACATCACAAGATGGAAAAGAGTGTTTTGTGTTTGAGAGAAGAACTCAGCCTTAATATCCAAGGTTTGTGTGTTAAGCATGTGTAAATGAAACAAAACTACAACTCCAGGTATATTTTCGATGAGGAAACAACATTATAACAGATCAGAAAACAGAATAATATGGGCCTTTTAACTCTGTCTAAATGTTTAATTATAATGTTTTGCTATTTGAAAATGCGCGAAGCATGTACAAACTATGGCACGTTCTCACACCTGGTGAAACAACTGCTCCTCTCAAACCAAAGCTGCATATATAATGTGGACTGATGTGTGCCAGGAGTGAATGACTCATGGATGCTTCTGATAATGGATGATGATTTTAAAATGCTGAGAAAACTGGATGTGAATAATGGAACAGATTTTTTTATAATTGGCCAGTCACTGTAAAGACATTTTCTTCTTTCTGTATGTTTGATTTTATGTACTATAATGTCAGCCTGCCCACTAATACTACAACCTGGGGCAATGGATTTCTAAAAGTGTAACGTTTTTGGTGGAGAGTTTGTCAATTACTCTTTTCCATGGAGATGTTATTGCTTTGTCTGAAATGTTTCACAATATGGTATTTTCTGGTACTTTCTATCTTTATGGAGACCAAACCAAACCAAGTTACAGGTCAGATCTGTGGAGAGACAACCCCGCTCAGTCAGAATGCCTGTTTTTCTAAGTATTTTTGAGCGATAACACCACCTGTAATTGAATAAATATACGGTAGAGGTGTTCAATGTCATACTGTGAAACATTTCAGGCAGAGCAATAACATGTCCATGGAGAAAAGCATCTGACAGATCCTCCAACAGAAAAGTTACACTTTTAAGGTCAGTGTATATTGTGCAATGTTCCTGTCTCATTAAACAAATACACTAAACTAAACAAAAAAATAAATAAAGATATACATAGGCTAGAGTTAAAGGTTAGGTTAAGGTACACTTTAGTGTAGTGTTTTCCCAAACTTTTTTTCTGGAGACCCATATTTTAAAAGTCACAAACCTTCACGACCCAAATCAATAGACTTTTCGATTATTCATAAATCACTAAATAAAGGTGGATTTGACCATTATTGAACATTAATGAGGACAATTTATTGTTGACTGAGTGATCGGGTCTCTCTGAACAATTAGTATTACTCAAGTTTTAAAGAATGATAAACAGTCATTGAACCAGTAATAAAAGGATCCATAAGTTGCCATAAGTTGCTCTCTTGCGACCCACCTGAGGGTCGCGACCCAGTCTTTTGGAAACAATACTTTATTGTCTCTGAAGGAAAACTTGTCCTCTGCATTTGACCCATCTTTCAATACTGCAGCAGACTAACAGATTTTTTATGTTGTTGTAGCTTCCAGTGGAGGAAAAGAGAAGCTGGTATTTCAAAATGGCTCTGATCTACATAAGGTACAAAGGAGATAAAGTTAAACACATCTCTCTGTGTGAAGTGTTTTCTTCTTACCTGTCCTCTTCTGTCCTCTTCTGTCTTCAGGCTGGACGACATCGTGAAGACCAAAGTGGACTCAGAATACTCCAGACTGTCCCATTACAACAAAGGATTGAAGCTTCTGAAGGAGACACTGGAATCTGAGAGACCACAACACAAAGGTATTTATAGGTTGGGTTGAGGTTATAGGAGTAGTTTAAATAGAGCTGCAGGACTGGTCAGAATTCTATGGTGGAATTAGCTGTTTAAAGGTCCCATATTACACAAAACTTACTCTTGTGAGCTTTGACCCATGTTAGAATGTTGTTACTTCCTCAAAAACATACCTGGAGTTGTGTTTTGTTCCATTCACACATGTTTCACACATCTCCAAACTCAAAATGCTAGGGATGTCATGAAATGATAGTTTTGAAGTTAAGAGCTACCTTTTACCATTTAATAGAGACTGGAACTTCCAGAGCTGAAATTATCCAAGTGATTCTAGTGAAAGTGAATGGAGTTTAAAAATCCAGTGGAGCACTTCCTGTATTATTGCATGGCATCACAAAGTGGAAGAGAGAATTTTCTGTTTGAAAAATGAACTTAGCCTAAATATGCAGGATTTTGTGTGTTAAACATGTGTGAATGAAAGAAAACACAACTCCTGGTATGTTTGTGATGAAGAAACATAACGTAGATCAGAAAATAGCATTAATATGAGCCCTTTAACTGTCAGACCGCAGACTTGTTGACCTCATTTATGGTTCATATCTGTAATTACTAGGCCTATTCACATGAAACAAAAAACTAGCACAAAGTTCAATGTCTTATCTATTAGCACAAATAATCAAATCTGAATTTTTTTTTTCACAATAGTAGATCCAATCTGTAACAAATAATGAAAAGTGGGGGTGTGCAAAAATATAAAAATATCTATATCTCTATCTATCTATAAATAAATATATATATATATATATATATATATATATATATATATATATATATATATATATATATATATATACATATATATATTTTTTTTTTTACTAAATTATTTAATTTTATTATTTTAGTTTTGTTGCTTGTTCAGAGGGAAAAAAAACTCATTTATGTAACACATTTGAGATTTTCACTGTTTTGAGGATTAAAATGTTTGTGTTTCATATGAACTTTGCACACAAAGTAAAGGTTTAAAAAAGACTTGTAGTGTCACAGCTATGATTTAGCCATTATTTTTTATTGAGCCGTATCGAATTAATTTAAAATATATCTTACCGAACCGAAAAAGCACTGTATCGAGATATGTATTGTATCGTGGCCTATGTATTGAGGTATGTATCGTATTGGCAGCTTCATAATGATACCCAGCCCTAAAGATAAGGTTCAATATTTGTGGATTTCTGTTTTGGACATTTCTTTGGTAAATGGTCACATTTTTCTATAGCGCTTTTCCACCTTCAAGGCACTCAAAGAGCTTTACAACAAGGAACCACTCACCCATTCACACACACATTCATACACCAGTGTACACAGACACTGGGGTGGGTTAAGCGTCTTAAGGACACAACGACAGCATTCATCTGTGGGAGCTGGAATCACATCAGCCAACCTGTGGGTCAGTGGATCCGACTGCTCAACCTGTGATGTTTATGTCAAGAACTGGATTCGAACCACCAATCTTCAGATCAGTGGGTGAATGCTCTATCAAGTGAGCTACTGCCGCCCACAAAAACAGTAAAAAAAAACCTGTAAATCTCCCCTAGATAAACAGTACACAGCCCTTGCAAACTACCTCAGATTATGTCATAATCAAATTCTATAAAGTGAACACCACCTATTCACACACAATATTGAGGACAATAAAACAGTTTCAGTGAATAGCAAACCATTTGGAAGATCTGGGTAATTGCTTTTGGCAAAGTTTTGATGAAGGAGTTTTAATTACCCTAAGTTCTGTGTGAAAATGAGAAAATTCCATACAGACAGTGCACTGATTCACTTAAAACTCTTGATGTAAAGCTTCTATCTGCATATGTCTCCAAATATCTTATTAATATTTGAAAATAATTGCATTGTTCTTTTTGTGCCTTCACAGAAATATTGGGTGTGTTAAGCCCTATTTGTATGAGATTAGTATTACCTATGGACATTTGGTAATTTGTAATAATTATGGATGATGCCTGAGATCTTAACCCCGTGCAAAGGCTCCATGTCTGTAATTCCTAAAGTAAAAATTCCACTGCAAAATATCTACTATATTTTGTGAAAAACAGAGACGTCCGGTGATAATACTAGTTCCGTGCGAATCTACATCTCAGTGTTTGTTGTTGTAATTGCGCACCTTTTCTATCTCTTTTCTTTCTGCGTTCTTTTCTCTTTCAATCTCAGTCAATGTCATAAAATAGATTAATTTACAGACTTTGCTTATCCCGTGTGAAAGCGTCGCTAGTAAGACAGAGGTGGGGCCGTAATTTGCAAATTACCAGACATCCCCAGGTTTTACTTATTCTGTGTAAATAGGACTTTAGACTATAATGTTTTGTAACAGACTGTATAGTTTGTAGTGCTTTCTTAAAACATTTAAGTGTGTGCATTTTATTTTCTATTTATTCTGTCTTTATTTTTAGGAAATAGCCAAATGAAAGTACCAGACTCACAAGATAATCATTACAATTAAATAGGCCAATTAAAACATTAAAACAGGTGTAATTATGACTATAAATTAACACCATATTATTAAAATACAACAGAGGCTGCAGTGTATCCAGTTTGGCATGTCTTTGAAATGTTTTCCGTTTGTGAGAAGCAAAATACACATGTAAGAAAGTCAATTGCTGTAGGCCTACGTATATGCTTGCCAGTGTTCTATGGATTTTACATTAATTGTACTTCATGTCATTTCTCTCACAGATCGATGAACTCTATGTATGTTTAAATGAGATGTTTCTTTGCCCTCAGCTATTGCCTGGTGTCACGTTGGCGTCATGTTGGAGAGAAAAGACGAGTTTGTGACTGTGCCCATGTCTGTGCACGACTGTGGATACTCTGCCACTGACCCTCTCAACTGTTACGCAACGGTCAGTTACACAAGAGTATTATAGAACAAGAAAGTATCATAGTGATGACTGACATTACAGTACTATAGTAAACTCATGTATATACCCAAGTGTGAGGCTAGGGGGCAGGCCTACACAAGACAAAAAAACATTAGGAACCATTAGTGTAGTGGTTTAAGGTGATTCGGGTTTGTCTCCTCATTTCACAGAACAAATAAACAAAAGTGGCCATACCGTCATGTCATTTATATAATTATGCCTTTATTTATATAATTATGCCTTTCTCTTTGTTATTATAATAAATTGTGATGTGTGAGCTATTGTGTCCAAGTAATCTCAGTAGCTAAAAGCCAGGTCAGTACTTAGTTGGAAGACCACTGGAACATCAAATGCCACTGTGGGGTGCCGACTGTCTTTATGTCCTGAGGCAAGGCACTTCATAAACATAGTATCAAAATGGTGTGTGCCTGTGTGAGTGTTGGTTGTGGTCAGAGAGGCTGATGGTGCAGATTGACTGCCTCGGTGCCATCAGTCTGCCCCAGGGCAACTGTGGCTACAATAGCATCTTACCACCACCAAGTATGGAATGAATAATGCTGTAAAGCTCCTCGGGTATTATGAAAGGCGCCGTACAAATCCAGTGAGTCAGTAAAAATAAAATAGACTCATAAAATAAATAAATTGCATGGTTGAATGGATGAGTAATTGACCTACAATCCTCCTTGTTAGTGTAAAGTTGAAAGGTTCTATTGTCTTGGCAATTATAGGAGCTAGTAAAGCCTGTTAGACCAGTACACATCTCTATGGGTCTGTGTTTTTAAAAGGGAGTATCATGTTTATCATATATTTATCAATGTTTATCAACATTTCTTAAGGGTTTAAATCAAAAATATCCACAAAGTTATGTTTTAATTTTACTGACATGTGGTAAAGCAGTCTTTTAATGCTTTCTGCTATATCCCTATAAACTCCATCCATCTAGCTATCTGTCTATCTATCATTTAATTATTTTATTTATTATGTCCAATGAAAAAAAAAACACTAGTGGCATGAACAAAATGAACAGGAAGAAGATACATTTTACAAACCCTGCTTATATTCAGATAAAGTTAAATATGAAACATAATTCAGGTATCCACTGTTTTAGAAATACAAACAATAGCAGTACACCTCCTTTATGATGTTAATGAGTTGTATGTTTGTGTGTGATTGTGAATAGGCGATAAACCTGGCCAGTGACGATGTCTCCATCCTGAACATGCTGGCCAAGCTGGTGTTTCTTCTGGGCAAACACGAGATGGCCACAGGGATCTGCAACATGGCTCTGAACGTGCTGCCCGACCCTGAACTCAACTGGCAGGCCTACTGTACCCGCGCCAAGGTACGCCAACGCCAACGCCAACGCTATAAACAAACAGAGATAGAGACATGAGCGGAAACTGATAGCTTTGAATCGATCATCTCACGTGGCATAGATGAAATGAAGAGAAGATGGATAGGTTGAGGTGGCTAGTGGTTATTTTTTTAGCCTGGGGAGTCGACAGGGGGAGATAAACGGGTCTACTGTCCTGGGCTCCAGGGTCTTAGGGGACCAGAATTACAACCTTTGCCTATGAATTAATATTACAGGGGGGCCCATGTGAGTCTTCTTGCCCTGGGCCCCCAAATTTCTGTTGACGGCCTGTCTGTAGTATCAGTGAAAACAGGTAGAAAAGGTTTCAGGTTTATACATTGAGCTAGTTTTTAGTCTCCAAAGGAAACTGCAATTTATTTATAGCTAGGGCTTGAGAGTTTTTTGTGTGTTTTTATGCATTTGCACAAAGCCCAATAATTATGTTGTTTTTAACATAATGTCAGTCACATACCCACAATCCAATGTCCAATGTCTTATCTTTATTAATTTTACCACGATTCAGCAAAAACCCCACAGATGCATAATTGGACAGGAAGTACAGACGTTACCAGTGTGGTTGCCGGGTACCCTTGTGCACAGAGCCTATTTTCATATCTAACATTTTCTGTCTTCTGTATTTCACCATTTTGCTGTTAGATTCATGTGATCCAGTACATGAGAGACCTGGAAAAAGCCAAGATCGGAGAAGGAGGAATCCCGGACCGGCAGAACCTGACGGCAGCTCGCAAAGACCTGGACAAAGTGCTGAGTGTGCGCCCCTGTCTGAGGACGCACCTGGAGATGGCACAGGTACAAGATCACACCATATCTGAAAAGAATTAGAACAGATATAATAAAACTCTCAAAAAGACAAATCATTAATAAAGTTTGAGTACTTTTAAATGAGGTGTTTTCCTTTATGTTCTGACAAATGTAGAAAAACGTGTCCTTGCTCTTAGTGAGTTTGCATCTCCACAAACCTGATTTGTAGGAGGGCCTGCAATGTCTGTTTCCATGGAAATGTTGCTTTGGCTATAATCTTCCACTGTATGGGATAAAATGAATCTATCTGCATGGGCAATGTTCCAAAGAATTGTTTTAATGTTATGTTTTAATGGAATCATGTAGGTGACACCTCCAGAAAGTTACATGGTGTTGCTTTAAAGGTGCACTATGCAACTTTTTGGTTGGGGGGGCTGTCATCTGCTTGTCATTGCTCTGCCTGGAATGTTCCACAGTATGACATTAAACAGCTCTACCTTACATTTATTCAATTACAGGTGGTTTTATAGCTCAAAAATACAGAGAAAATAGTTATTCTGACAGTGAGTGGGTTGCCTCTTCAAAGATCTGACATGTAACTTGGTCTGGTTTGGTTTCCATGAAGACAGAAAGGTTTCATACCATAATGTGAAACACTCCAGACAAGGCAACAACATTTCCATGGAGAAAAGCATTTGACGTACCCTCCGCCAAGAAAAGTTACTCAATGCACCTTTAAGTATACACTATCTATAAAATAATATCTTGTCTTCACAGGTGTACTACTACATGGGAGTGGATGCATTACGGGAGAGCCTCTTGGTCGATGAAGCCGCTGTGAACAATGCACTGGTCAGTCTGTCCCAAGCTTTACAGTTTGAACACGCCGACTCTGTACCAGACCTCCACATCCTCAGGGGGCGCTGTCTGCTTCTGAAGGGAGAGGAACAGAACGCCGTGGACTGCTTCAAACGTGCTCTAGAGCTAGAACGCCCAGGAAGCATAGACACCACTGCTCTACACTGCCTCCTACAGGCTCTAGTGGTACTTTTCATACAGTCGGGGCAGGATCACAACGAAGAGCCCTGTTCGGCAATTGTTCAGTTGGAAACGTGGGTGAAGAAGGCAGAGGAGAGGTACCCGAAAGACGTGGTGAAGGCGGAGTTAAAGATGCTGTACCGGACTCAGCCAGAGGAGGTGGCGGAGCTGTCACGAGCGCTGATCCAGACAGGGAGACTGGAGCTGGTGAGGAGGCTGCTGGAGACTGTGGTGCCCAAACAGAAACCAAAGAGGAAACCAATGCTCAGGACATACTCTCTGACGTAAACATGGATCTACAGGATTAAAGGGGGACTATGGAACTTTTCAGATAGCGGCCGGGTACAGACCACTTGCTCGTCTGCGTGGTAGTGTTATTGCTTTGCTTAGCTGGATTATTCCACAGTATTGCATTAAATGTATCTATCACTATGGAGACAAACAGATGACTCCACCAGGCCATGTTACAGGTCAGATCTGTGGAGAGGCAACCCAGCTCACAATAAGAATGCATGTTTTTCTAGTTACATTTTTTGTGTGATTACAAAAATCTCAAACAGTAGAACGTACAAGGCAAAGCAATAACATCTCCATGGCGACAAGCAGGTGGCAGGCCCCCCATCAGAAAAGTTCCATAGTGGACTTTTAAAACAAAAGCAATTTATTTTTTGTAAAACTGATGATGCAGTATTTGGATCTTTTACCTCAAGCAGCCACTTTCCAATATTTTGTGAGTTTAATATGTAAAGTCCTGACTCCACAGTGTGGGACTGTTGATTTTTGTTATTGGATGTATGTGTAAAATTGAAAAAAGAAATCGCACAATATTCCCTATATTCCCTATATTCCCTATATTCATTTACTTAGTGCTCTTTGGAATTGGACATTTGTAACAAGATGATATTCTCTGAAATACTGTTCATTTGATGTTGTGTTTGTTACTAGTATCTGGCATGTGTGTGTGTGTTTGTGTATGTTAAATGAAGTTTTGCGTTTAAACATGACTACCATCAGAGTATTGTTTAATTTAGCCAACGCATGTCGGCTACTCAATTTAAAATATTGTCTATGAATTACTTTCTTTACTTTTACTTCTCAATAAAAAACTGCTTTTGGCATTGGACATTCTTAGTTCATATTTTCCATTTAATGTTTTTGTCATAAAAAAAGACTTTTTGTAGCCTGGTGTGACTTTTGTCAAAATGAAAAGTAGTCTGACTCTTGCTGATGCTTTGAAGTCTTGAAAAAGTCTTGCATGGAGTGATTTCATGAGAGAAAGGTTAGTGAAATGCTTTTACACAAATATTTTACAAACTTGTAACATTAACATCAAACTTTAATAGAATTTGACTAATGATTTGACCCTGAGCTTTCCTGCTTTGTGATGCGCTATAATGCTGTATGCAAGAAGGGGGTCACACTGTAATCAGTTCAAAGTCAACAGAAAAATGGATCATGCTAAATGCAAAAATACAAGCTTTAAAGGCACCGTATTATGCCATTTTCTGATCTGTTATAATGTTGTTTCCTCATCGAAAATATACCTGGAGTTGTGTTTTGTTTCGTTCATACATGTTTAACACACAAACCTGCATATTTAGTTCTGTGTGAGCTCTTCTCTCACACAGAAGACACTCCGTTCCAACTTGCAATGTCATGTGGTAATACAAGAAGTGCTCCACTAAGTTTTTAAACTATACACCTTCACTAGAATCATTTGGATAATTTCAGCCCTGCAATTGTCAATCTCCACTAAATTAAAGGTAAAAGGAGCTGTTAACTTGAAAACTACCGCTTCATGACATCACGTGGTAGAACAAAGCATTTTGAGCTTTTGAGACGTAGACAGAGTAATAATAAAAGCTTAAACATGCGTGAATGAAACAAAACACAAGTCCAGCCTTTTTATGACCCATGACATTTGATAAAATCTTCAAATTCTACAGATATTTTTAGCTGAAAAACAGACCAAACGAGCCTTACCAAAGCTACAGTTTGAGTGAAAGAGGAGGTCTGCGTCTCTGGTTTTATTTGTTTTACAACTGGTTTGAGTCTATTCACAACAACAATGTCACCACTCCACTGTTGCATTGTTACCCTCATAGACATCATATTAAAAGTTCAAACTTTTCTGGTAGAGGGTCCATTACCTGCTTCTTTCTATGGATACATTATTACTTGGTCTGGAATGTTACACATGCCTTTCTAGCATTTATTTAATTACAGGTATTTAATTGTGCAAAAATACCTAGAAAAACATGCATTCTTACTGCAAGCGGGCTTGTCTCTCCACAGACGTGACCAGTAACATGTCTCAGTGGCCTCATTCATTGTCTGCATGCAGGTAGATGCGTTAAATGCCATATTGCTGGATTTCAGATGACATCACTACATTCTATAGGCTAATATTATTTAATACAAATGGGGGGCAGCTAAAATTAATATTGCTCAACTTCACATTTTTGTTGCAATATAGCATGGTCTTGGATTGAGTCTATAATAGAAATGATCAGGTTCCATATTTGTGAATTACTCTTTCTGATATTTCATGGTAAAGTACAAAGTAATTCATAAGAAAAACTGGCTCTTGCCCCCCATTTGAGAGTATGTGAGAGTATGACATCAACACATTCTAGAATCTGAAACCCTGCAATAGCAAAGCAATAACATCTCACTGGAATCAATCAGGTAGCGGACCCTCCAGAAAAGTTACTCGCTCCTTTAAACTACATTTTACTCTACCTGCCTGTCCTATACACTGTTTGCATATGTATGACATATTAATTGCCTATTTTTTGCCTATTAATTTATAAACACATCCATAAATAAATTGTCTGAAACAAAATGTATCTCCATATTTAGCTCTAGAGTCTAGTCACTAATGATCAGGCTCATCGTGTGTGGCTTAACATTTTGCATATTTCTGAAAATACAATATTATCAATTGTGACATTTTTGGCCTTATCCTCTGTTTTCTGATCTATCTATTTGTTTCCTCATCAGAAACATACCTGGAGTTGTGTTTTGTTTAATTTACTAATAACACACAAATCCTGCTAATGTGGTGATCAAGGAAGTGCTCCACTGGGTTTTTAAACTTAAACATACCTTCAATCATTTGGATAATTTCAATCCTGGCATTGCTAATCTCTACTAAACAAAAGGTAAGGTTGCTTGAAAACGGCAACTTCATGACATCACAAGTTGGAACAGAGCATTTTGAGCTTTGGAGACACAGACAGTAAAATAATAAAGTGTTTAAAGAGGTAACAACATTATAACATGGCTTAAAACTCACAATAGATAATTTAGGATAATATAGGGCTTTAAAGTAAAGCTGATTCACCTCTAAAATGGCATAATTACTGAATAATACTGTAAAACTCTATAACTAACCCAATTACTTCAAACTAATTGCTCTTTTGTTTACATAATGTTACAAAATCGGTGAAAAGTTTGCTACCTCTGCTCTGTTAATGAAAAATAGGTTGGCGGTGGAATGCCTGGGCCCCTCCTTGTTTGAACTGGCCTTATTGTTGCAGTAGCAGAGCAGGTTATGGTGGATACTCCAGTGAACATTTGTGAGATGTTTCCAATCACCATTTAAAAAAAAAATCACCAGCCACTCCTCACTCACAACACAGCAGGGTTAGGAGGGTAAAGAAAGGACTCAGGTAAGAACTGCACAGACTTTTCTCCATAGGAATATAAAGGGTACGGAATATAACTGTTTGTATGCAGATTTAAATATAAGAGCAAAAATGTATATTGTTTTGTAAATTTGGTTTAAGTTTGGTGTAAGTTTAGTTGATAATATAAAAAGTTTGGAAAATGAGTTCATAACTTCTCCGTGAGGAATTCAATTAAAACAGAACATGAAGAAAAATGTCCATTATATGTTGAAATTGAATAGCAAAATACAGCCAAACTAAGACTATCATTCACAAATCAGATTGTGTTTTCAATTGTAATCTATATATATTCAAATTGGAGTTTCTGCTAATCCCAAAGGACAAGATTAAAATAGAAATCAAATATAACCTGAGGATTTTCTATGGCATTACTGTATTAATAGTGTATTGATTTTCATATAATAGTAAATGTTAAAGGTTTTCATAATTGGTTTAGATCAATAAATCAAATGAATTTAATAGAAATCATGTCATTTTTAGGTCCAATTCCAGTTACTTCAGATTCATTTCAAATTTCTATTCAAATGCTTGTTTATTTTTTTAGCTATAATAATTATACTTTCTCAAACTGATGTGGGGTGTGGTGCGAAAGGAACATGTACAACAGACCAATGGTATGACTTCCAGAGATACTTAAACAGCATGCTTAAGTCATGAATCAGTCTGTCAGTGTATATTAAAGTTTGATTAAGACAGAGGCCCTTCCTAAAATAGTCATTGCATTTTTGAGCAGTTCTGGCAGCATAGAAATATTAAGTTAAATATATTAAGTTAAATATACTGACATTGCATTGTTTAATATTGAGTTAAACAATGCAATGTCATTTAAAATAATAGTGAATGATTAAACTAATATGTTTTGAATAATTGGTCTGTATCCTATTGTGTTAAGTGCACTATAATGTACTACAATTTTATTATTACATGATGATACAATACATTATTACATGATTTAAAGCCAGTAATTTATTTTAGTTTGGTGAAAACTGCCTTCATTTTAATTGAAAAGTGTTTTAAACTGAATTATCCCTACTGTGAAGATAAAGTGTGCCTTAATCTTAATATCATGCTGTGAATTTTGCTTATTTTAGTGTTCATTTAAAAATGGCTATAGGAGTTCAGGCAGTGATATCTTTGCAGAAGCAGAGTGGTTATGGCTCTTGCCTCCCACTTGCTGCTATTTGCCTCCTATACAGTACCAAAGGATCTGGGCAAAGACAGATTATTTATAGTTTTAATAATGCACTATCACAGCATGTTCAACAAAAACAACTGGACTTGTTTTTAAAACCAACATTTTACCAACCAGATAGCTCCATCAGGGCTTGTGTAAGTGACTGTGAGAAAGTAAGTAAGTAAATAAATACATCCAGTTGTTTCTTTTCACTCACTGATAATATCTTATCAGTTCTTATCAGGTTTTTTTTGTCTTTTCAGTTTTACAGCTAATATTGAACCTGTCAACTATGGCGCAACAGATGACTGAGTGGAACAGTGGCCTCTTCAGCTGCTGTGACAGCATGAGCACCTGTAAGACAATAATATTATATAATACAATAGAAAACTCATCTGGCATGTAATTAGGTCAGAATGTCAAGTAGAGGGCTGGCCTTGTATAACAGAAACTCAAAACACAAATGCTGACCCTTATGATTATTTGTTTAGAATTCTCTCCACAAACTTTTTATATTAAACTTATGACTTAAAGTCTTTTCAGTTGATAACAGTCACATCCTTGGGTTGAATGCATGCATCAACTACTGAACCAATGGTGGAAAAAATCTCTTTTGCTTCTGACTGAACATTGTTTGGCAGTTTTTGTTTCATGTGGATAAGCCCTGTAATTAGAGAAATATTATTATCATATATTACAATAAATTGACTCTTGTGAGCTTTAAGCCATGTTAGAATGTTGTTACTTCATCAAAAACATAGCTGGAGTTGTGTTTTGTTTCATTCACAAATGCTTCTGTAACATTTTATTATTAGTCTGCCTCTCCAAAGTGCAAAATGCCATGTTCCACCTTGTGATGTCATGAAACTGTAGTTCTCAAGTTACCTTTTGTTTAGTAGAGATTGGCAATTTGGCTGAAATTATACAAATTATTTTAGTGAAGATGTATGGAGTTCAAAAACACAGTGGAGCACTTCCTGTATTACCACATGACATTACAAGGTGGAACAGAGCGTTTTCAGTTTGAGAGAAGAACTCAGGGTTTTTGTGTTAAACATGTGTGAATGAAACAAAGAACAACTCTCTGGTTGTGTTTGTGATGAGGAAACAACATTATAACACTGATCAGAAAATTGTGCAATAATTTCCACCAAAGAAAGACCTCCAGATCAGTTTACACTACAGGAGATTCATGATGCTGTGATGTTACTTGATTCATTCCCTTACTCCAAGTCTTGTGTGTATCAGGTTGCTATGGTTTCTGGTGCTGTCCGTGCATGGCGTGCTCTGTGGCTGGGGGCTTTGGAGAGAACCGCTGTCTCCCTCTGTGTGACATGTTCAGCCCGGCCATCACCTCCGCCATTGGTCTGCCCCTGTGTGTGCCCCCCGCTGCCCTGGCACTGAGGGTCGGACTGAGACATAGATACGGCATCAAGGTATAAGAACACATGTGGTTTAAATATTGTAATGAGAGGAGGGTTTATCAAAGACTGTATAAAGAAGTCATATGTAGTTGAAATACTGTGGAGATAGTGGTGATCATAGACTGTGTAAAAAAGTGGACTAAGTAAGATGTCACCCAAGCTCACAAGGCTGGCAGTTATGGGGTCATGAGGCAGGAATATATAGGAGTAGGGAATTATTTGAGGACAAAATAGCAAAATAAAAACACTAGGATCATGCAGAGCGGGTTGATGTGAATATTTTAAGATCCAAATGACAAGCATGACAATTACAGTCACAATTACAATTACGTTACAGAAAGAGGGGTTACATGTTTTTATGCAAAGTCACCTGGAGCCAGAGTTGTTGGAGCCAGAAATGCTCCCATATTCACTTTTTGGAACACAGATGTCCACTTATATATACAGTCTATGGGGTTTGTACACTGTGGTGAAAGTGTGGGACTGGGCGGTGGCTGTTGTGTTTATGAGTACAATCATGTGCTCAGGTAAATTCCAATGGTGACAGTCATGGAGGAAACACCTTCAGAGTAGAGCTCCAAACTGTGTTATCATAACTCATCACATTTTCAGTTGATCTACTGTTAAACAATGGAAAACTACATGCAAAGTTTTGTGCAATGAGCCACTGTTGCATAGTGCTGGTTCTGTAATGGTGTTGATTCCATCTTGGTTTAATCCTTATCCTATTCTGGTCTAGTACTCTGGTCCAGCCCTGGTCTAGCTCTGGTCTAGTCCTGGTCTAGTCCTCACTCATACTTGTTGTTCAGCTATCTCACCCACAGCTGCCCTGGGGCTGACTCAAACAAATGTGGCAGTAAATCTGTGCGACCATCATGCTTGCACACTCTTCCTGTTATGATACAATGGGTTTGACCATTGCTTTGCCCAAGGACACACCGACCCTCCAACACTAGGGCAACACTCACTGACACACTGAACACACACTGACCACATGTCTGTTTGTTCAGGGCAGTCTGTGTAAGGACATCTGCACGTCTTGCTTCTGTGAGTGGTGCTCCTACTGCCAGATGCACCGAGAGCTCAAATATCGTAAGAAACATCATGCCAATGTGGTCAACATGCAGCCTGCCCCCGCGGGTTTCGTAGCCAAGTAGACTCCCAGTACCTCTGCTGAAGTGTACAAGCAAAGATATGACTACAGTACTACTGCATTACTGAGCTCAAGACTATGACTACAATGTCCACACCAAGATAATGGATAAAGTACATTATAAAAATGTGTGTAAAAGTTAGTTCTTAAAGGCTGTATTTTATATCAGTAGATTTCTTCTATTATTAAACTTTTTCTTTTTATTGATCATTATGAAGATTAATTAGAGATTGAATAAAATGATATGGACAGCAGTAAAGAAGTATACCAGGCTGGGTGAATAGGCCTTGATTTTGTTACATTGTTGAACTTTATTGTTGAATTTGTTGATAATCCCTAACTAATATCTGTCCTTGGAAGTGAATTATGATGTTTAATAATTAGTACATGTGACCTAAATTGTACCAAGCAATATTAAATTACAGTAAACGACCAAGTCTCCAAGTCTTTCTGTGCTTCTTCAGCTGTTCTCTGTCTGTACTTTGTCAGTTACCATGATGACACAATGCACAAATCAGTAAACACTGACAAAATTTTTTTAAGACTATCCTAAAAAACTAAAAAAAATAATAAAGAAATGCAACACTAAGTTCCAACCAAGGCAGCTGTTTATGGTAAAATAATAATAAAACTCAGATTAAGTCTAATTTGAGTGACAGAGCTTCTACCATAGCAGTGCTTTCAGTTAGTTTCACACCCCCAGGGAATAAGGACAACAGATGCCAAGTATCAATACGCCCCTTGCTTATCTTCCTGGAGATGTTAAGAGTTTTGACTGGAAATGCTGCACAGTATGATTTAACTCATCTCTCACCGTGGATACAAGCAGGCAACACCAGGTCAAGTTACTTTTGTTTGTTAAAAAGAAAATGTACACCTGAGTGAGTGTCCAAGTTACAAGCAATTACACAAAAGCTATATTGTTATGTATTGTATTATTTTGAACCATATAGACATATGAACCACTCTCAAATGCAAAAGGAAATAAAGTCTACGCTCAGGTATTAAAGGTCCTATATCACAAAAATTGACTCTTGTGCGCTTTAAGCCATGTTAGAATGTTGTTACTTCATCAGAAACATACATGGAAAACACAGAGTTGTGTTTTGTTACATTCACACATGCTTGAGTGATTCATTATTGTTAGTCTGTCTACATCTCCAAACAACTGCCTTTCAACAGCTGCCTTTAACCTATTGTTAGTGTTACTCTGTTGTGAAGCGTCTTTTTCTCCAGCGTCTATAAGCAAAATCAAAACTATCTGGCATGGTGGCTGAGTGGCTAGCACTTATGCCTCACAGCAAGAAGGTTCCAGGTTTGATCCCCAGGTTGTGGAGTGTGAAGTTTGCATGTTTCTGCCCATGTCTGGATGGGTTTCCCATCAACCCAAAAAACATGCTACATAGGTCTCCAGAACAGTTGATAGTCATGGTCAGTTAAATACAATCAATCAATGAACCTGCCCAGGGACTACAGGTGGAAATTGTCCCTGTCTCAAATAAATAATTAAAATAAATAAAATCCTATATAGACTGTATGATCTTGAAAAAGTCATCCATGTACTCATTTTCTCCCTTGACTTCAAATCCATCTCCCGCCTCCAACTGGTTCAGAAAGCAGCAGCTCGGCTCCTCACTGGGTTTAACAGACATCAACACATGACCGCTGTTTTACTTCCCTTCATGGCTGCCCCTGTGCTTTAGAATAGATTTTACAATTTTACTGATCACTTTTAAAACTTATTTGGGTCTTGCATCAAGTTATATTTCAGAACTTTTAACCCCGTACGAGCCCTCCTGCAGCTTTAGATCCTCAGGCAGGTTCCTGTTCGTAGTTCCAAAGTCCAGGCTCCAGACAAAGGCTGATGGAGCTTTTTCAGTCCAGGCACCTTGGCTTTAATATGACCTGCCTGAGGAGATAAGGCTCGCACCATCAGTATCATCTTCTTTAAAATCACTTCTTAAGACATTTTTATTGGGTGGCCTTCCTTTAACTGGTTTTAGCTTGATTTTATCCCTTATTTATTTTTATTATATTTCTTTCTATTTTTTTTTTTTTTTATAATTTATTGCATACAGCGTAATGTGAACATAAGGCTCAGAATCTCCAGAATTCACTGACATTAATAATGGAGGTGCTGGAGTTTAAGTAGTGACAATTGACCAATTACTTTTTCCTCCAGCAGAGGGCGACAACAGTACATAAATCGTCTGAAAGTGTTAATTGAACATAGGAAGTTAAAATCCTCTTAAACTGAATCAGTTGGGCTTGCAGATTTTAGTCCTACAGCAGCACTACCTTGCCTTTCATTGATGTTGTATGGTCTTTTTATCATATTTAGTTTCACTTTGAGAATGTAAACTGTATCATGAATAAAATGCATTATTCTTATTCAACAAAATAAAATAAAACGGAAAAAAAAAAAAAAAAAAACTATTAATAAACAATAGAAACAGAAACGAAAGTTACACATTGGGAAGCAAAACACAAGTATTATCCACATTTCAATATTAACTACTACACAAACAAAGACTCCAGCATGTAAAAACAGATACATTTTGAAGCCAGGTTTACACTAGAGTTGTCAAAAGAATCAAAAAGTCAGATTCAAATCAATACTGAAACTCAAAACTAGATGCACATACACACATACGCCCATGGACCACTATGAAACCTTCTTGGACTTGGATTACACACAGAAAAGGCCACAATGGTGAAAATGAATGAGCATTGAGTCTATTCCTCAGTATTGAAAGTGAGAGTGAAATGTTAGTATTGTGACAACACTAGCCAAGCCTGCATGAGACCTATTGTGAATCCTGTGAATTGTTTGATAATCTTAAACCTTATAGCAACAGCATGCAAATAGTCACGCCTCCAGTCTGCCAGCAGGGACCAGAGACACAGATTCCCCAGTCACTGCAGGTGCACAGCTCAACAACACCCAAAACAGTAAGTGCTATTCAAAATATTGTGGCTAGATTTAAGAATATTTTATAGGTAGTGTAGTGTTTTATTCAAAATTTTACATAAAACACTTACATAGAAGTATTTAAAATGCAATATACAAATTGATTATAATTAATTCAGGTGAGAAGCAGTAATGAAAAAGGTACAGCTTGAGATTCATTTGAAGATTTTCCAGTAGATTACTCAAATAAATGTATACGTTTTTAAAAGTATTCTTATAGGTTTCATCCAGAAATTGTAGAAAATGTGCATAAAATAAACAGTATAATGACCCTGACTTATGAAATGTACAAAAATAGTTTTCAATTAAAACTTTTAAACAGATTTTGAGGACATCTGTGAGAAATATATATGGATATGAGTAAGATTTAAAAATATAGGTAACGTGTAGGTTTTTTTTTACTAAACTAGTTGAATTGACTTATTACTATTATTTTTAAATCCAGTTTTACCTTTGGGGTTAAAATCTCAATATATTATCTTATAAGATAAAATGTTAAAGTAAAAAGCATCAAACTTTTGTGGAAAATATGTCTGTAGGTGAGAGTTTCTATTTCAATTTCAAGATTTGGTTTGAGGTCAATATGTGAAATAAGATCTGAAATAAGAAGTCTTTGATGTGATGGGGCTGTTCATTCTTCTGTAGTTTCCAGGTAAAAGCATAAATGTTAGAACAAACTGAAACTAAATATTGAAATGTGTAGCAAACTTGTTTTGCCTGCATTTGGTTACAGAATACTCAATCCATTTGACTACTGTCCAAATGGATTTCACTTGTCTCTTACACTAAAAATCTTACTATGGGTCATATGCAAATGTTCGAAAACAACAACATTTTCTACAATTAAAAACCCAGTCATTGAAAAAATGCTTTCTCGCTATGGTGATAATGTAAAGAGGGGTTTCAGAACAATGAAAAAATGGTGTTCAAAATGTTGCTGATGGAAAGATACCCATGAATAGCAATAGAAAATCATTCGAAAAGGAGTCAGTGGATCAATGGATGGTTTTTTGTAATACACAATTTCATTTAAAATGACTTGCTGTTCATGGGTTTCATTGTCAACAGAAAATCATCTGAAGAGGAAGTCATTTGATCTCATTGTCAAGTCATTTTAAATCACATTGTGTATTACAATGAAAACGGACACTGAACAAATCACTTAACAAAGCACTAGACCGTGAGGGAAGGGTGGTTTTGTTTATAAATGATAGATTACCAGATTACTCCTTCATTTTACATCCACCATTGAAATAAACAAATGTGACTGGACAATGAAGTTTGGTTCTGACCATTCATTGCACAGAAGTGGACCGCGGGAGTGTGACTCAACAGAGTTTGGTATAAAGCCTGTCACAATAATTACAAAGCAATGTATTTTGGGGCGCAATATTTATCATGGGTACATTTTCTTTGCAATAATGGGGAGATTTTTGCCATTTTTAGGCAATAACGGGAGATTTGAGCTGTAAAGTGTAGAATAAATAACTGTTATTGCTAATTATAGGTTCATTCTGTTATATATTTGCAGCTCAGGCTTTTTTAATGATACTGTCTTTTTAAAAATTGGTTTCCTTTGTGACAGTGGAATAAAGTAGTTTCAGTATTGTCGTTTATCACAATATTTCTCTGTAGGAATATGCTTCAAAATTTGTTATCGTGACAGGACTAGCATTCGGCTCCAGTCAAATGAAGCTTACCAAGGCTAGTAATTATGGGGTGAATTTGAAGCTGAATTCCATATTAGGAATGCAAATTATCTCTCGTCTTCATTCTCCTCTCTCTCTCTTTACATTTTTTGATAATTTGATAATTTTGAGACTTATTATTAAGATGGTGGTTTTGAAAATAAGAAAAATGTGAAAGGAAAAAGGAAAAAGAATGTGATTTATAAATCTTGTATGAATATATTGTGATTCCTTAATTTAAAAATAGGAATGCAAATTAATTTACGGACAAAATAGCAATCAGAACCATGTAGAGCGGATTCATTTGAACATTTTAAGACCAAAATGAGGAGCCTGACAGCAGCAGTTACAGAGAAAGGGGTGACAGTTTCTCAATACAAAGGGAAGTGGAACCAGAGTCAATGGAGCCAGAAGCATCCCCATGCTCACTTCTTATTTGGAACATGGTTAGCTATGTCCATTTATATGATATATTTATGTAAAAAAAAAAAAGTTCTCTTTGTTATTATAATTATATTGTGTCCTGGTAATTTCCCTTGTGGACCAAAAAAGTTTGTCTAAGTCTAAATCTAAGGGAGATAACATTTGGGATTTGACAGGCAAATTCAAAAGACTATTTTGGTTTTAAATTGTTAATCACTATGGCAATCATTTTAACTTTGTCTCATTCTGAAATCCATGGTAGTAGTAGTGTGTGTGGTTTCTTATTTCAGCTTTAAACCAAAGCACCAACCTCCATGGCTCAGATTCAGCCTGCAGGTGCTCATGTGGAGGAGGTGGAGTGGAGCACCGCCCTGCTGGACTGCTTCGAGGATTCCGCGACGTGTAAGATTTCACAAAGGCCACTCTTTGATTAGTTAAAATAACATCCTTCTACTTCTACAATTTACCTGTCACCATGGAGACAAGGAGGTCATATAAGTTTAAAGTATACATTTACATTACACAGTTTTCCTAGGTTATAATGTTGTTTCCTCATCAAACACACACCTGGAGTTTTGTTTCATTCACACATTTAACACACAGATTCTTTATCTTTTCTCTCTTTTTTTTTTTAATCCATGGGGGTTTATTCTGCCATCACAGAGAAAGTGGAAATTTGGAAGGGAAATCCACTGGTTTGGTAATCAAGGACCGTTTTCACAGAAATGTACATTCCAAAGCAAAATCTTTAGAATGGTCCAGTGCTCTCGTGGATATATTATTGCTTGGACAAGAATGTTCCACAGTACGACATTAAAACTACGCCTATCTTTATGGAGACAAGCACATAATGTACCAGACACTCCACCAGAAAAGTTACAGAGTGTATGTCTGATTAGATAGACCTGTGCTGTATTAATAAGGGCTACACTAGAGAGATCGTTGCCATGATAACCTATAGCAAACAACACTCCTGCAAACTAAGGGAGCTGGACTTTTGAAAAAGAATTAATCTTTAATTCTTTGATGATTGGACTTTATTACTTTATCCAGTGCCCTTGTTTTACATAATAATGTGAACATATCTTAAAAAAATGTTTTAAGAGAAGTAAAGAGAATAATTATCAATGGATGTGTCCATATGGTATACTGACACACAAACATAGTCTAGTTCTGTAATTCTGTATAAAAATAAAATGTCATTGTGTCCTTAGGCAAGACACTTCACCCACCTTGCCTAGTATGAATATGGTGTGGGTGTGTTTGTGGTGATCGGAGAGGATTGGCAGCCTCGCTTATGTTAGTTTTCCCAGGGCAGCCGTGACTACAATAGAAGCTTACCACCACAGAGTATGGAGTGAGAGAATAATGAGATGCAGCGTAACACTTTGAGAGCATTGGACTGGATTGTGACACCCAATACAAGTGTAACCAAACATCATTATTATTATTATAAATATAAACCAGTGCAGTGTTTTTAAGGTAAATATTAATTTTCATTATTCAGAGAATATGTCCTGACAGAGACAGATAGAGTTCCTAGCATTATTATAGCACCAAAATAATATCATTGTATGTAAAATCAAATACTTTAATCAGTTAATATTATTATATGTTATTATTATATTTATTATTTTATAATTTTTTTATTTGAATTATGCTCTTTTTCAACTCATAAGATGGCCGATGCATTTGCCATGAGAACTCGTGATCTCTCTAGTTGATATTAATCCTTCATTGAGATAGAGCAGTTACAGAGCTGTACCTGTGTGCTGTGCTCCTCAGGCTGTTATGGGTTCTGGTGTGGGCCTTGTCTCTCGTGCACTGTGTCCGGGAGGATGAAGGAGTGCTACTGTCTCCCCCTCTGTGACTACTGTAATCCTGCTGTTGGTATCGGCTGCTGCCTGGGGGCCCCCCCATGCATCCCACCGGCTGCGTTTGGCCTGCGGGTGGCGCTGAGACACAAATACAAAATTAAGGTATTACAAAAACAATTCAAAATGTAAAATGTACCTGAGTTAAAATCATTTACATTATGGCAAGAGTAAAAGGTGATACATGTTGAAAGTGTGTAGGCTTTAATCTCAGACATAGTGACACAGAATAAGGATTTTTTACACTGTAGCACTACACAGATAGAAAAACTATTTAAAGTTGCATTATGTGACATTTCTTGCTTGCTTGTCTCCAGGGCAATGCTACAGTTTTGCCTGGTATGTTCCACCCTCTAACTTGCATTTATTTTATTACTGATGTTTTAATGCTAAAATACCTTAAAAATCATTCATTCTTACCTTTGACATGACCTGTAACTTGCCTTATGGCGCCATCCACTCTAGGGATGGGCATTTGATGAAATTTTCTTAATCGATCGTCGGAAGAATTAACGATCGATTATCGATTAATCATTAAGGTTTTTATATAAAAAATTATCATTATTATTACTATCTACACTACTAATCTGCATAACTAAATTAAACTTTAGGACATATAAACCGTAACGACTCTAGAGCCACATCAGCCCGTTTTAGATTATAATGTGTTTAATTCAGTTTTTGCGCAACTCTCACAGAAACGAAACTTAAAACCACAAAAAAAACAAAAAAAAAACAAACAAAAAAAACACATCGCTAATTTGCATAAACTAAACGAAGATAAAAATAGAGCTCTTGTGCGCTGATGCAGTTCAACTTCTGTCGGATTAAAAGACATGACTCAGGTGAATACAGGTTAGTGTGATCATATTTGCGTATTTGTGAGTACACAAAGTCCAGAGTATCAATCTGGAGCGGGTTGTTTCGTTCACCTGGCGACCAGTGGTTCAGAGCAATCACAGCGAGGGAAATGTTTTGTGCATTTCATCAGATTCAAATATTTGTCATGACGTTTTGCATTTTCTGATCGTTTTCAGTGAGAACTGACCCACAATTATGCGTGGCTCTCTGAATTGAGTTACACATTTACACTACACATTTATATCAATCTGTTGTGAGCCTGGTTACTTCTCTCCATGGATATACAACAGATATTAGTATGTTTAATGTTATGCAGAGGAACATAATGGAGATAAGCAGATGGCACACCCTCAACAAGAGAAGTCATTTGTGTGTTTTTTCTTTTTTTGTTGTTGATTTTATAAACACACCTGGCCCTTTCACTTTCTCCAGGGCTCCATCCTGAATGACCTCTGTGTTTCCTGGTGCTGCCCGATGTGTTCGTGGTGTCAGATGCATCGAGAGCTCAAAAAGAGGAACACAACACCGAATGTGATAAACATCCAGAACGTGGTGCACATGCAGCCAGGCCCTATGATGAACCAGTCCACAGGTGTCATGTACTGAAAACCTGCAATCAAAAATATTACACCAGATCGTTAGAATGATTATTTTTTCCTATATATTTTTGTTACTTTTAATTTTATTCTATGCATTTTTTTTCTGTCAGAAAGTTACTGAAAATTGTTGCCAACTACTACACAGTTTGCAGCTGATGTCCTCACCTGCCCTTGGGTTATGGCGCTAACTCTAAACACTGCTTTGTCTGAGGCTTTGTTACACTTTAATCTGAGTTTTATTTTAATACAATCTGACCAGAAAGAACTGACTTAGTTGAATCTACAAAAGGTGAGATGGTTTGGGCTGTTCAACAAGTCTTGAAAAATAATCATTCTTTTTTTTTTTTTTCTTTATTACATAATTCCATGTATTTTACCTCATATATCTGATGTGTTATGTGTGTATATAAAACATACTGAAAAAAAGAAAACACTGAATGCAATATTGTGTCCAAACTTTCAACTGGTGGTGTACATGTCGAACACCCCCAGTACGATGTCACTGCAAAGTATTAGTATTCATCACTATTTCAAAGTATATTATGCCCCATAGTCATATACGTCATAGGTGATGCACAGTGACAGAGTAACTTTTCCGATGGAGGATCGCGACCTGCTTGTCTCCATGGAGATTTTATTGCTTTGCTTTGCAGTATGGCATTAATCTAATGATCTCACTGTAAGAATGCACATTTTTCAAGTGTTTTTGAGCAATAAAAACACCTGTAGTGAAATAAATGTGAGATGGATCATTTAATGCCATAAAGAGGGACATTCCGGGCAAAGCACATCTCTATGGTGACTAACAGGTAGTAGCCAGGCCCTCCACCAGCAAAGTTACATAGTGCACCTTTAAAAACAAGTCCAATAATAAGCGATAAAAGAAAGATTCAACACATTTCACAGTTGTTTTTGTTTTGCTTGTATTGTTTTAAGTGTTTGTCTTTTTTACTATAATGTAGATGTAATTCATATAAAAAATTAAATACTTGCGATAGCCTTCTTGCACGTGAACTTCCTTTGCAGTCTTTGCTGTTGGCACTGCTCCCTAGTGGTAGGTCAGTGAAACTACAACACCTGCATCCTTGTGCCAAGTTTCGTTTTCGTCAAAAAAGATACACACACGTGTGTTTGACAGAGGCACAAAACCTAAAACCACAATCGACATGCACACGACTCGTATCAGCGCAGAGATGGCACGGTAAGTTTTTTTTTGTTTTGTTTGTTTTTTACGTGCTTTTTCCCCCCCAAAATCCAAACAAGATCAGCAATGTTATAGTAGCCTATTTGATCCAAGTATTCAAGTATAATTTGAACAATTGCACGTTTAGGTCTTTGGGTCCGAAAAAATGCATAATACTAATCAAATTCTAAAAGATAGGCCACGTATGCTTTAGGGCGCGTTTTGAGCCCTAATGGGTTGACCATTAATATGTATGTACATATATATATATATATATATATATATATATATATATATAAACAGCCAGAACGCCTGAACGTAGTGAACACATTTTTGTTCACTCAGAAAATTACTGAAAATTGCCAACCACTGTCACGGAGTCAACACAGATCAACACAGATATTGATGGCCTAGTTTGCAGCTGATGTCCTCAACTGCCCTTGGGTTATGGCGCTAACTCCAAACACTGCTTTGTTTGAGGCTTTATTATACTTCAATCTTTAAAATCTTTAACATCAGTGGCAAGCCTGAACTGGTATGATAAATAAGATCACTTAATTGGGCTACTCACACTAAATGTTAGTAGCCTACGTAGAGTGGAGTATCTTAAACCATTCCTCATCTCACTTCAAAATATCACATTTACTATTTCCAGTTATTAAAGCAACTATCTTGAAAAGTGTATTGTGTTTTGAGCAGGACTTTGTTTCTTTTTCTTAGGAATTACAGTCGTCTTGTGGATGTGACGTCTGACACACAGATGCATCACCATTCCCCAGTGTCCTCGAGCCAAGTTTGGCCCCAGAGCTCCACAGAGGAGGAAGGGGAGTGGAGCACGTCTCTCATGGACTGCTTTGAGGATGCAGCCAGCTGTAAGATACATACTTTCAACCAAAACAATAGATTACATTGAATAGGTTAAAGACTGGTTAGAGCTTTTAACAGACTTTAACCATGTTATGAATGTTTTCCCTTCTCATTTACCCACTCAAAGTGGAATTTAGAGCACTTCATTCGACATACTAACTAACATACATGAACATTCACACAGTCAGTGGCTCCCTCTTTTCAGCATCACTCGAGGAAAAACTAAAACATAAATCAGCCCAGTCCAGCCCATCTTTCCCACAATCATAGAATAAATAGTTAGAACTGTACACGATGTATGCTGTACCCACAGCATAAGACTGGGCACAGTCTCCAGATTTGGACTCAGGATGTATCATCCATCTCCTTCAAGCTCATAGATCTGGATCCAGAGTCCCACAGCCCAGTCTGGACCGTCATGTAGTTTTGATTCTCCTGTATTCTGCTCTGCTCAGTATGTCTAAATGATAAAATAATGACCCGTGGATGTCATAGATTATAACTCTACAGTGGAAAAAAGTATAATATGTCTTCTTTAAACTTTGAGCCTTTTAGGATGTGATACAAATCTATGGACTCTTCACTTTTTGTCTTATTGTTTATGTATTCCTCAGGCTGTTATGGGTTCTGGTGCTGCCCGTGCCTCTCCTGCACAGTGTCTGGGAGACTACAGCACCCATACTGCCTGCCTCTGTGTGACTGTGTGAGCTCGCTCTGTCCTGTCCCTCTGCTGGTGCCCCCTGCTGGTCTCGCTCTGCGTGTGGCCATGAGGAGCAAGTACAAAATCAAGGTAAGCACTGATGCAGTATGCACTGATGACTGTATTATTTCAGATTTTTTATAAATGTAATGCCAAAAAAATATACTGTGCACACTACACCTGTTAAATCAAAATGGACTCAGTTGCAGAGTTTCATTGAAGAGTCCTTTAACAATACATTTAGGTACATTTATTCTAAACATAAAGTAGTCTTTTCTATTCATGAAAAAAAATAAAAAATAATTATAACAATACATGCAAAACTTTAACTACAAAAATATTATACCACTGCTTACCGTAATGAAAACGTCATAAAGGTCAAAAGTGTTGGTATGCCCCTCACAAAATTAAGGCTTTTTGCTCAACATCAGAGACTTTAAGTAACTTACCTTTCTGTGTGCGTTTCATTTATTTTACTACATTTTCCCCAGGGCACTCTGTTCAATGACATGGTTGTAGCCTGCTGCTGCTCGTGGTGCTCTTGGTGTCAGATGCACCGTGAGCTAAAACACAGAATGAAACCCCGCCAGATAATCAACGTCCAGAACGTGGTGAGTGTGCAGCCCCTGCCCACCACCAACATGACCCCGGCAACTGTTACTATGGACAACAGTGACAACGCTCTGCCCAAGTATTAGCCTTGTGCTCATCCACACTGCTAAACTACTTGCACATCATATATGCATCTATATCATATCATTACCATCATATATGTTCCCTACTCTAAGCATTCTAATTTTTTTTTTTCTATTTAAAGGAGTCCTTTGATGTGTTTTGGCTATTTTATATTGTGTTCCTTGTATGATTCAATTCTGATCTAAAAGGAGTTAGTTACAAAAAGGGGTCCATAACTTCAAAACTGTTCAAAACTGTTCAAAACTGCAGAATCAAGTAGCATTTCACTGATTGTTATCAAAATGCGGTATTTTTTTTAGAGTTTTCTGAAAAGTACTTTGTATAAAAGAAATTTTAATTGTTGAGTATTTACTTAAGTGTTGAGTGCCTTCTAAACATTTCAGGAAGGGTGAATGGAGTTTAAAAGTTGTATATAATAAAAATGAATAACAAAATAATAAATACTGTTGATTCCTGTCATTACTTATGTATCTGAAAATGTACAATACCAGTCAAAAGTTCTCATTCTCTCATTAATATTTTTTCGTAATGTTTACTACTTTCTACATTTTACATACAAATAGAAGACATCAAATATATGAAGGAAGATGTATGGAATTATGTTGTAAAGATAAAAGTTAAATAACTCTAAGGGTGGCTATTTTGAAGATTTGATTATAAAATATATGTTAAAAATAGTTTAGGGTTATTTAACTTTTTTCTTTGTCACATACTTCCATATATCTTACTTCATATATTTGATGTCTTCTTTATGTGTATAACATGTAAAGTAATATAAATAAAGGTTTAAAAAAAAAATGAGAGGGTGTGCCTAAACTTTTTTACTGGTAGTGCACATATATTGCAAAGCTTCTGTAACTGCTCTTAATGTTTAATCCTAACCTCAACATTTTTTTTTATTGCAGATTTTCAGACACAGACAAAACGATCACCTTATACAAAATCAACAACAAAACAAAAAAAACTCAAACGCGAATACAAACATCTCCACATATAAAGGGGCCATTTCAAAGCTCTATCTTACTGGAATAAATTAAACTCGTTCACAAAGCCTAACCTCAATAGACGCATGAAACCGCTGAGTAAAACCACTGTCATACCGTTTACAGTCAGAAGATGGACACAACGGCACACAATTTGTTTCATCGTGAGCCACTTGTGACTGTAAGATCCTTGGTAACACTGCGCCGCCTAGTGTTCGGGCCTATCTACAACAACCTGCATCCGCGTGTGCCATGGATCTATATGTGTGTCAAGCTTCGTTTTCCCTCCAAAAGATACACATGCGTTTTTGAGAGGCACAAAACCCAAAACAGCCATCAACATACACACGACTCGTATCTACGCAGAGCACAAATGGCGCTGCCCCCACGGTAAGGTAAAATGCACATAAAAGTACGTTAAATGTTGGTCTGTTTGGTTTAAAAAGGAGTAGTTTATGATACACAATACTAATCAAACCCTAAGTCCAATGCTCACATATAAAACTTCAAAATATATACAATTCTGATTTTATTTTGCTAAGATTCAAGCACTCCTTTGAGATTGGGGAACATCAGTGGCAAGCCTGAACTGGTATGATAAGTAAATCAACTAATCGGGCTACTCACGCTAAATGTTAGTAAATGTGATATTTTGAAGTGAGATTAGGAATGGTATAAGATACTCCACTCCATGTGGACTACTATTTCTAACTTTTAAAGCAAATATCTTGAAAAATGTTTTGTGTTTTGAGCAGGACTCTGTTTTTTTTTTTCCTTAGGCATTACAGTCCTCCTGTAGAAGTGACGTCTGACACACAGATGTATTACTATTCCCCAGTGTCCTCGAGCCAAGTTAGGCCCCAGAGCTCCACAGAGGAGGAAGGGCAGTGGAGCACGTCTCTCATGGACTGCTGTGAGGATGCAGCCAGCTGTAAGACACATACTTTCAACCAAAACAATAGATTACATTGAATAGGTTAAAGGTTTTAGCTGCTCTCCTTACTGTTAACAGACTTTAACCATGTTATGAATGTTTTTCCTTTTCATTTTGCAACATACTAACTAACATACATGAACTTTCACACAGACAGTGACTCCTTCTTTTCAGCATCACTCAAGGAAAAACTACAACACAACTCCAGCCCATCTTTCCCACAATCATGGAATAATTTAGCTCCATAAAATGCTTCTTTACAAAAGAAAAAACGATGATTAAATAACTGTACTCTGTATCTATACAGCATAACAATGGGCATGGTCTCCAGATTTGGACTCAGGGTGTAGCACCCATTTCCTTCAAACTCATAGATCTGGATCCAGGGTCCCACAGCTCGGTCTAGACCGTCATGTAGTTTTCATTCTCCTGTATTCAAGACTCCTCTGCACTGAAAAGCCATTGCTGATCAGTATTAGTGGTACACGTAGGATTCAGCAACATCACATGCACATGTATGTGCCACACAGATTGTTGCACAGATGAAAAAAGAATCCACTGCTGCTGCTGTAGCTGTCCATAGGACGGGCTGTCAGCAGGGTCCATGGCAGTGTGGTGCTTTGTTGTGATGAAGTTTATAGTGACAAACAGGACAGTTTTCAACCTGAAATCAGTGGGCTTATTTATTTTATGTACTAATTTTAGATCCATATTACAATTTAAAATGTCTAAATCATAAAATAATGACCCGTGGATTTATTGAAAAATTTCAGCATCTGCATGTTTTCTCTTCTTTTGAGATACGTAATGTTAAACCTTTTCTTATTAAAATACATATTTAATAATTGTTTTTGCTTAAATATTGAATCCAGAATAAGCATAATATAAAATAAAAACAACATTTTAAATAAATAATGTCTCTATAGTCCATCTGTAGCTGGTGGGCAGCTCTAATACATATTTGATATGATCTCGCAGGTCAAACATAATTAGATCGTGGGCCAAATTTGGCCCCCGGGCCTGAGTTTGACATGTTTGTTATAGATTATAACTTTACAGTGGACAAAAGCATAATATGTCTTGGGCTCTTCACTTTTTGTCTTATTGTTTATGTATTCCTCAGGCTGTTATGGGTTCTGGTGCTGCCCGTGCCTCTCCTGCACAGTGTCTGGGAGACTACAGCACCCATACTGCCTGCCTCTGTGTGACTGTGTGAGCTGTCTCTCCTTGTTGCTCAGCCGTGTCCCTCTGGTGGTGCCCCCTGCTGGCCTCGCTCTGCGTGTGGCCATGAGAGCCAAGTACAAAATCAAGGTAAGCACCGATACAAAGGTGCATTCTGTATTATTTCAGATTTTTTGTAAGTTTAATGAAACATTATACAGTGCATACTACACCTTTTAAATCATTTATTTAATCAAATACATTTTCTAAACAAAGAGATGTCTTTTCTTTTAATAAAAGATACAAAAATAGAACAAAACATGTATTCACACAAAACTTTAACTACAAAATATTATGCCACTGCTTGCCCTGATGAAGACCTCATAAAGGTCAAAAGCGTTGGTATGTCCCTCACAAAATAAAGGCTTTTTACTCAACATCAGAGTGCCTTGGATCTGTTTTCTCCCTTTTTAAATGTAAAATGTTATAAATAAGCAAATAAAATTCAATTTAGTAATGGCACCAGTCCTGTACACAAATTTAAATTTTAATTTTAAAGGTGCATATTGTAAATTTTCTGGTGGAGAATCTGTCAAATGCTTTTCTCTATGGAGATGTTATTGCTTTGTCTGGAATGGAGACCAAACCAGACCAAGTTACAGGGCAGATCTGTGGAGAGGCAACCCTGCTCACAGTCAGAATGCCAGTTTTTCTAGATATTTTGAGTGACAAAAGCAACTGTAATTTAATGAATGTAACACAGAGCTGTTGTCGAACATTCCAGGCAGAGCAATGACATCCATCGAGAAACAAATAGGTGACAGTCCACCAACCAAAAAGTGAACGTACATAGTGCATCTTTAATTAACTTTTTTTTTTTTTTTTTTTTTTACTTTTCTGTGTGCGTTTCATTTATTTTACTACATTTTCCCCAGGGCACTCTGTTCAATGACATGGTTGTAGCCTGCTGCTGCTTCTGGTGCTCTTGGTGTCAGATGCACCGTGAGCTAAAACACAGAATGAAACTCCCCCAGATAATCAACGTCCAGAACGTGGTGAGTGTGCAGCCCCTGCCCACCACCAACATGACCCCGGCAACTGTTACTATGGACAACAATGACAACGCTCTGCTCAAGTATTAGCCTTGTGCTCATCCACACTGCTAAACTACTTGCACATCATATATGCATCTATATCATATCATTACCATCATATATGTTCCCTACTCTAAGCATTCTAATATTTTTTTTCTATTTAAAGGAGTCATGTGATGTGTTTTGGCTATTTTACACTGTGTTTCTTGTAAGATGCAATTCTGATCTAAAAGGGGTCCATAATTTCAAAACTGTTCAAAACTGCAGAATCAAGTAGCATTTCACTGATTGTTATCAAAATGCGGTATTTTTTTTAGAGTTTTCTGAAAAGTACTTTGTATAAAAGAAATGTTACTTGTTGAGTATTTACTTAAGGGTTGAGTGCCTTCTAAACATTTCAGGAAGGGTGAATGGAGTTTAAAAGTTGTATATAATAAAAATGAATAACAAAATAATAAATACTGTTCATTCCTGTCATTACTTATGTATCTGAAAATGAGAACTTTTGACTGGTATTGTACATTCTCTCATTCATATTTTTTCGTAATATTTACTACTTTCAACATTTTACATACAAATAGAAGACATCAAATATATGAAGGAAGATGTATGGAATTATGTTGTAAAGTTAAAAGTTAAATAACTAAGGGTGGCTATTTTGAAGATTTGAATATAAAATATGTTAAAAATAGTTTAGGGTTATTTAACTTTTTTCTTTGTCACATACTTCCGTATATCTTAGTAGTACAAATAAAGGTAAAAAAAAAAAAAAACTTCTGTAACTGCTCTTGTTTAATCCTAACCTCAATAGATTTTTTAAATTGCAGATTTTCAGACATAGACAAAATGAGCACCTTATAAATGTATAAAGTTCACATAAGGATACAAAAAAAAAAAAAAAAAAACATTAAATGAGAGGGTGTGGCTAAACTTTTTACTGTACTATACATATATTGCAAAGCTTTTGTAACTGCTCTTTTCTAATGTTTAAATCTAACCTTTTTTTTTTTTTTTTATTGCAAATTTTCAGACAGAGACAAAATGAGCACCTTATACAAAAACAAAACTCAAAAGCGAATACAAACATCTCCACATGTAAAGGGGCCATTTCAAAGCTCTATCTTACTGGAATAAATTAAACTCGTTCACAAAGCCTAACCTCAATAGACGCATGAAACCGCTGAGTAAAACCACTGTCATACCGTTTACAGTCAGAAGATGGACACAACGGCACACAATTTGTGTATCTACAACCTGCATCCGCGTGTGCCATGGACCTATGTGTGTGCCAAGTTTCGTTTTCCCTCCATAAGATACGCATGCGTTTTGTGAGGCGCAAAACCCAAAACAACAATCGACACGCACGCAGCTCGTATCTGCGCAGAGATGGCGCAGGCCACACGGTAAGTTTCTTTTTTTTTTTTTTTTTTTTAGCTCACGTGCTTTTTTCCCACACTCTGAACAAGATCAGCAATGTTGAAGTATTTGATGCATGTATTAAGGTATAATTAATTTAAACGATTGGACGTTTGAGTCTTTGCAGAAAAAATGCACAAAAAAGTGCGTTAAAAGTTGGTCTGTTTGGTTTAAAAAGTAGTAGTTTATGATACACAATAATAAACCCTAAGTTCATTGCTCACATATAAAACTTCAAAATATATACAATTCTAATTTTATTTTGCTAACTAAGATTCAAGCACTCCTTTGAGATTGTGGACATCAGTGGCAAACCTGAACTGGTATGATAAATAAGATCACTTAATCGGGCTACTCACGCTAAATGTTAGTAATATGATATTTTGAAGTGAGATTAGGAATGGTATAAAATGGTATAAGATACTCCACTCCATATAGACTACTATTTCCAATTATTAAAGCAACTATCTTGAAAAATGTATTGTGTTTTGAGCAGGACTTTGCTTCTTTTCTTAGGAATTACAGTCGTCTTGTGGAAGTGACATCTGATACACAGATGCATCACCATTCCCCAGTGTCCTCGAGCCAAGTTAGGCCCCAGAGCTCCACAGAGGAGGAAGGGCAGTGGAGCACGTCTCTCATGGACTGCTGTGAGGATGCAGCCAGCTGTAAGATACATACTTTCAACCAGAACAATAGATTACATTGAATAGGTTAAAGGTTTTAGCTGCTCTCCTTACTGTTAACAGACTTTAACCACGTTATGAATGTTTTCCCTTTTCATTTACGCACTCAAAGCAATGAGCAAGTATGTTTCATGAACTCAATGTTCATGCAATATACTAACTAACATACATGAACTTTCACACAGACAGTGACTCCTTCTTTTCAGCATCACTCAAGGAAAAACTACAGCACATCTCCAGCCCATCTTTCCCACAGTCATGGGTCCCACAGCTCGGTCTGGACCGTCATGTAGTTTTCATTCTCCTGTATTCAAGACTCCTCTGCACTGAAAAGCCATTGCTGATCAGTATTAGTGGTACACGTAGGATTCAGCAACATCACATGCACATGTATGTGCCACACAGATTGTTGCACAGATGAAAAAAGAATCCACTGCTGCTGCTGTAGCTGTCCATAGGACGGGCTGTCAGCAGGGTCCATGGCAGTGTGGTGCTTTGTTGTGATGAAGTTTATAGTGACAAACAGGACAGTTTTCAACCTGAAATCAGTGGGCTTATTTATTTTATGTACTAATTTTAGATCCATATTACAATTTAAAATGTCTAAATCATAAAATAATGACCCGTGGATGTCATAGATTATAACTTTACAGTGGACAAAAGTATAATATGTCTTCTTTAAACTTTGGGCCTTTTAGGATGTGATACAAATCTGTGGACTATTCACTTTTTGTCTTATTGTTTATGTATTCCTCAGGCTGTTATGGGTTCTGGTGCTGCCCGTGCCTCTCCTGCACAGTGTCTGGGAGACTACAGCACCCATACTGCCTGCCTCTGTGTGACTGTGTGAGCTGTCTCTCCTCGTTGTTCTGCCTTGTCCCTCTGGTGGTGCCCCCTGCTGGCCTCGCTCTGCGTGTGGCCATGAGAGCCAAGTACAAAATCAAGGTAAGCACTGATACAAAGGTGCATTCTGTATTATTTCAGATTTTTTGTAAGTTTAATTCCAGAAATATTATACAGTGCATACTACACCTTTTAAATAATTAATTTTAATCATTTATTTAATCAAATACATGTATTCTAAACAAAGAGTTGTCTTCTCTAATTTATTTATTATTTATTTAATGAGACAGGGAGAGCGCACAATTTTGACAGGAGAGATGCATTGTACCAGGTTGTAGCACCAGTGCTAATTTCCATCTGTAGTCCCTGGGCAGGTTCATTGATGTTTTGGGTTTTGGGTTCTATTAATTAAAGATACAAAAATAGAACAATACATGCATTTATAGAAAACTTTAACTACAAAAAAATTATTCCACTGCTTGGCTTGAAGAAGAACTCATAAAGGTCAAAAGCGTTGGTATGTCCCTCACAAAATAAAGGCTTTTTACTCAACATCAGAGTGCCTCGGATCTGTTTTCTCCCTTTTTAAATGTAATATGTTATAAATAAGCAAATAAAAATTCTATTTAGTAATGGCACTAGTCCTGTTAAAATCTTTACACAAATTTAAATTTAAATTTTAAAGGTGTATTGTGTAAATTTTCTGGTAGAGAATCTGTCAAATGCTTTTCTCTATGGAGATGTTATTGCTTTGTCTGGAATGGAGACCAAACCAGACCAAGTTACAGGTAAGGTCTGTGGAGAGGCAACCCTGCTCACAGTCAGAATGCCGGTTTTTCTAGATATTTTGAGCTACAAAAGCACCTGTAATTTAATAAATGTAATGCAGAGCTGTTCAATGTCATACTGTGCAACATTCCAGGCAGAGCAATGACATCCATCGAAACAAATAGGTGACGGTCCACCAACCAAAAATTTACCACACATAGTGCATCTTTAATTCACTTTTTTTTTTTTACTTTTCTGTGTGCGTTTCATTTATTTTACTACATTTTCCCCAGGGCACTCTGTTCAATGACATGGTTGTAGCCTGCTGCTGCTCGTGGTGCTCTTGGTGTCAGATGCACCGTGAGCTAAAACACAGAATGAAACCCCGCCAGATAATCAACGTCCAGAACGTGGTGAGTGTGCAGCCCCTGCCCACCACCAACATGACCCCGGCAACTGTTACTATGGACAACAGTGACAACGCTCTGCCCAAGTATTAGCCTTGTGCTCATCCACACTGCTAAACTACTTGCACATCATATATGCATCTATATCATATCATTACCATCATATATGTTCCCTACTCTAAGCATTCTAATATTTTTTTTCTATTTAAAGGAGTCATGTGATGTGTTTTGGCTATTTTACACTGTGTTTCTTGTAAGATGCAATATTGATCTAAAAGGAGTTAGTTACAAAAAAGGGCTTTAGTAGCATTTCACTGTCTATTATTGAAATACAGTATTGTTAAGAGTTTTCTGAAAAGTATTTTGTATAAATGAAATTTTACTTGTGTGAGTATTTGCTAACTTCAGTGCTGAGTGCCTTCTGAACATTTCAGGAAGGGTGAGTGGAGTTTAAAAATTTTGTATAATAAAAATTAAATAAGTATTGCAGACTGCTGTCATTACTAATACTCATTATTTGTGTAATTGAAAATGTACACTACCAGTCAAGTTTGGACTCACTCTCGTTCATATTTTTTTTTTCTTTTTACATTTTAGATACAAACGGAAGAAGCAAGATGTATGGAATAGGTTTAAAAAAAAAAAAAAAAAAAAAAGTCAAGTAACTCTAAGGCTACGTTGAAGATTTGAATATATATTTAAAAAAATTGTTCAGAGTTCTTTAACTTTTTTCTTTGTTGTTGCATGAGACAGCTGAGCAAAACCACTGTAATATCGTCTACAGCCAGAAGACGGCCCCAGAGTCACACCTCATCATGATCCACTTCTGATTGTAATCATTTTACACGGTAACACGCGTATGCATGTCGTGGGCACAGAGAGTCAGCCAATCAGAATGAGCCTGTCAGCCACGTGCTGCTGTGGCGAAGCACAGCCAATCAGAATGCAGAGATTAGTTCTCGTTCATAATTGCCGCAGACCCGGGTTCGAACCCTGCTTGGATCAGAAGACGCAAGATTGCAGTAATGAACAAAAACTAAGATTTGATCAAATGTTTAAGTTAGTTATCACTGTTCTCCCCCTCCTCTCCTGTTCTTCTCCTCTCCTGTTCTCCCTTTTCTGTTCTTCCTCTCTTATTCTCCCCCTCCTCCTGTCCTCCCTCTCCTCTCTTATTCTCCCCGTCCTCTCCTGTCCTCCCTCTCCTCTCTTATTCTCCCCCTCCTCTCCTGTTCTTCTCCTCTCCTTTTCTCCCCCTGCTCTCTTATTCTCCCCCTTTCTCCTGTTCTCCTTCTCTTCTCTTATTCTTCCCCTCCTCTCCTGTTCTCCCTCTCTTCTCTTATTCTCCCCCTCCTCTCCTTTTCTCCTCCTCTCCTGTTCTCCCTTTTCTGTTCTTCCTCTCCTGTTCTCCCTCTCCTCTCTTATTCTCCTCCTCCTATTCTTCTCCTCCTTTCCTGTTCTCCCTCTCCTCTCTTATTCTCCTCTCCTCTCTATCTCCCTCTCCTCTCTTATTCTCCTCTCCTCTTCTATTCTTCTCCTCCTTTCCTGTTCTCCCTCTCCTCTCTTATTCTCCTCCTCTTCTCCTGTTCTCCTCCTCCTCTCTCAGTCGCTCCGTGGACAGAGAGGAGGTGGACTGTGGAGTCGACGTGGTTGCAGTTTGACAGAGAGCGAGAGATGAGAGGATGAAGAGAGAGAGAGAGAGAGAGAGAGAGAGACCCCCTGTTGAAGACCTCTGCCATAAAAAAAAATCTTAAACTGAACTTGGTGATTTTCCTTCTTCATTCATGTAGAAGACATGACCTGGAACCAGAGAGTGACAAGAGTTAATGTTTATATTTTTCACTGCTCTACACTCTCCTCTTCAACAACTGTACAGTATGAGATCAGCTTAATGGCGATTAATTGATTTTCATGCGAATAATCACGTCTGCAATATTTATTTATTTATATTTATTAACTTGAGCTCGGTGTTTATGTTTAACAACAAGTTTAGAACTGGGATTGTGTTCACTACATTGAAATTTGAAGCGTCTGGGCAAGAAAGGAGCACAGGTGAAATTGAGCTGAACTGCAATTCCATTCCTTCCATTTCATTTCTATCAGTGTGTTTACTGTTTACATTAAGTCCAGTGGAATATAATTTTATACACAGGGTTAAATCCTGTGGGCTGGTCTAAACCAGGACTAAACCAGGTCTAAACCAGGTCTAAACCAGGTCTAAACAAGGATTAAACCAGGACTAAACCAGGTCTAAACCAGGTCTAAACAAGGATTAAACCAGAACTAAACCAGGACTACACCAGGTCTAAACCAGGACTAAACCAGGTCTAAACCAGGTCTAAACAAGGACTAAACCAGGACTAAACCAGGTCTAAACCAGGTCTAAACAAGGATTAAACCAGGACCTAACCAGAACTAAACCAGGACTACACCAGGTCTAAACCAGGTCTAAACCAGGACTAAACCAGAACTACACCAGGTCTAAACCAGGACTAAACTAAAAGTTTTATTCATTCACTCCACAGTCACAGTCAACATTGGTGGTCATACTTGCACAGGGCCTGATGCTCAGAGATGCATGGCAGCAAAGTAACATTTTAATAGGCTGATAATATTGAATTCAGATGGGGACAGGTAAAATACATGTTGTGCATTGCTATAATAAATCTGAGTTTGTGAGTCTAGTGAATAATAAAAAAGAACAGTCAGGTCAACAGTTACACTGTGAAAAAAGATTTACGATAGTCTTAAAACTCAAACAAAATGCATTTAAACAACACATTTTGAGAAGCCTGTGACCAAAACTGTTTAGGAGTTTGATGTTCCCTAAAAAGGTGAGACTGACTAACTGAAAAACTGTTGGCTAAGCTTGAGACTGTAATTTTATGTGTGAAAGATTTGTTTAACAATGTAAATCAGCTCACCTATTGTAGTTCCAGCTAAATCAGGTCTTTATGGCCACATTGTGTTCAAACAAACAGAGCACAGATTAAAGTCTAACTTCAGTAACAGAGCTTCTGACGGAGCTTAAGACAGAGCAGTGCCCACAGTTAGCGTGACATGGCTTTAGCTGCAAAGAATCAATATCAGAACCACATAATATCATAAGATCACAACTTATGATAATTAATACTGAAAAATATTGACTCTAGTTACTCTCTTTAACAGTTCTCTGGTTCCAGGTAATGTCTTCAACATAATGAATAATGAAAATCACCAAATCCAGTTTAAGATTTTATTTGAGGGTTTGTCGATGAATGTGGATTGTGGAGCAGGTAGGGACTATGCAGTAGCTGTAGTATTTTCTTATTTCTCATTTATTTATTTGTAAATGGACAGCACATATTAACAGAGGAGGTGGTACCATTAGGCAAAAGTAGGCAGTTGCTTAGGGCCTCCAAACCTGGAGGGGCCCCTGACCAATTGCCCTCAGTGTCAAAAATGTCCGAGGCCTCAGAGCAATTTGATTTTCTCCCAATAAGACATTAAATGAGAGTAGTTTACTTTCATGTAATACTCATAAGAAAAATAATAATAATTATATCTAATGGATGTTAACAAAATGTAATTGTACTAGCAAAACTACTTTCAGTTCTGGTTATCTAATAGGTGAACCAACTAATAAGACAATTTTCCAGTTCACCATAATTCAAATAGAAATGTGCATGTCTCAAGAACAATGGGGAAAAACAGACAATAATTATATTAAAAAAACAAATTGTTAACTCTGCCACTGCGTATTAATGAACATTTGGCAGGTTGATGGAATAATAATCTACAGGACAGGGAAAAGCACAGCAACAATCACACAAATACATAACATACATAACAACAGCACACACACCATACATACAACACACTCACTGTAGACTCACTATACATACAATTCATTTCTGACAGTTTATTTGAAGTTCGAGGTCAAGGGTTAAACCAACAACCCCTCATAAAAAAAACAAAAAACATTTTGTTAAACATGGTGACATATTTGACCATTGAACAACCAGTGTTTTACAATTAAAATTAAAATTAATTGTTTAAAAAGTGTATTTATATTGTGGTATATTGAAATCTGTTAAGTATAAGTATAAAGCCTTTTCCATAGTACTGAAAGTTTAAAATTGTAGTACTGTGACAACACTAGTACCAGCAACACACACAGATTTACAAAATGGTAGCATGTCTAGACAAATGCACGTGACATGTGCATAACAGTAGGCTACAAATCTAAAAGTTGAAGCACTGTATTGTAGTGTATGGCTCAAAGGCAGAGTCACTGTCAAAAGCTGGTTAAGTCCACACGTCGTCACGTTCTCTGGTTTTCAGCGCTGTAGGGAACTCCCTGACACTATTGTAATACAAAGTCAACTGCAATTATAATAAGTAAGCCATGATTGTTACTGTATCTGCAGTACATTATTAGATGCAGTGTGTCATTTTCTGAATGCCGCCATGACGTCTTCTTTATTTGCTTCCGTTTCCTTGAATGCTCTCCTCGATCCTCCATTTTTCAGCTGTCAATCCTACTGCCATATTAAGTAGTGTCCCAAAGCTGAAGGGACGGAGACCACAGAGGAAAACACAGAGGAAATATTATTTGTGTCTGTGAGATTGTATTGTTGCAACAACTTAAAGGGGCATGGTGTAACTTTTCTGGTAGAGGGTCACTGCGTTGTCTCCATGGAGATGTTATTGTTTTGCCTGGAATGTTCCACAGTATGGCATTAAATCTATTGAACGTGGATTTATTCTGTGCATGTACACGTGTTATTAAGAAGAGTTTGGGTGTCTTGAAAAGCACTATATAAATGAAAGATGCTTATAGTGCCACCTGCTTTTCTGAGCCTAGTTTATGCACAACATTTACAATGCACTAGAAATGTATTAATACAGATTTACTGATTTATATTTAGTACATACCATCTCTGTGTCTAATCAACACCAGGAAGTGCTGTTGGGCTAATTACAATTGACTTACTTTTATTTTCATTTACGCCCCATACAGTCACATTCAGGTTTTACAGGAATCTGGAGTTTAAAGCCTCCTTCAGCCTCAGTGAGCCCTTCAGTCGTCAACAGGCCAGCCCACAAGTCCAGCCACACAGGTAAAAAACTTCATGCATTTTATTTACATTTTAAAGACTATCAATCAGTAAATATAATAATAATAATGATCAAAGCAGATGTTGAATCTTCCTCTTCTTTTCCTTTCTTTTTTTTTAATTTGCTTTTTTTTTTTTTTTTTTATAGTCTTTTATGGCATTGGACTTTTTAAAAATATATTTTAGATTTTCAAATACTTTACAATTATATGCAGTATGGAGGAACTGTTTTTGAAAACCTCTTTAGGTAACAGCACTTTTACATGTGTATTATAGTATATAGAGCATGGTAAATTATGTGTTCATCTTTACTATCTTTTTTTAAATTCATAATTTCTTTTTAATTCAATCAGATTTTTATTTCTTTTGCACTTTACAATAACAATACAATAAGAAAAAGTCAAAATTTGCTGTTATCTTTTCTATCAGCAGAATGGCAAGACATAGATATTGAACGCCATTCTAAATAATGAGTTTGGCTTTATTGAGTTATTTTTGTGTCTGTATTGTCCGTTTGTACAGGTCAATTTGTCATTAAATCGTAACAATGGCGAAGTATTCAAAGGCTGATGATGTGGAGTGGAGCAGTGGACTCTGTGACTGCTTCGAGGACTCAAAAACATGTGAGCGAAGATTAATTATATGTGTATAACAAAACTATAGAAAGACGGGATTAGGCCAGGACTCAACTAGGTCAAGATCAGGCCAAGATCAGGTCAGGAGCAGGGTGAGGCCAAAACTGGACCAGGTCTAACTCAGGACTAAGCAAGGAACTAAAGCTAGACTAAAGAATAAATAAATGGACTGAACCAGGACTAAACCAGGACTGAACCAAAACTGAACTAGGACTAGACCAGGACTAAACCAGGACTAAACCAGGAATAAACCAGGACTAAACCAGGACTAAACCAGGACGAAACCAGGACGAAACCAGGACGGAACCAGGACGGAACCAGGACGGAACCAGGACTAAACCAGAGCTAATCAAGGACTGAACAAAGACTAAAGTAGGGATAAGATCAGATATGAACCAGTACTAGATTGGGACTGAATCAGTACTAGATCAGATCTAACCCAGAACTTAACCAAGGACTAGATAAAGAGGACTACACCAGGACAAATCCAGAAATAGACCAGGTTTAAAGCAGGTCTAGACTAAACTAGGACTTATCTATGAGTAAATCAAATAATTTCATATATGAAGGGCCTATATCACTCTATTTTCAACTCCAAGTATATTTTTGAGGAGGTACCAACATTATCACACGGCTTAAACCTCACAAGAGTCAGCTTTGCGTAATATAGCACCTTTAAAACAGTGTATCATACTTATGCTTTAATAAAAAAAAATGTTTCTACCTGCTCACTTTTTTTTTACCCTGTTTTTTGTCTTCCAGGCTGCTATGGTTTCTGGTGCTGCCCGTGCCTGGCCTGCACCGTTTCTGGAAGATTTCAGGAGAACCGCTGCCTCCCGCTGTGTGACATCCTTGGCCCTGGGGTCGTGGCCGCGTGTGGGATCCCTTTCTGTGTGCCCCCTGCTGTGTTTGGGCTCAGAGTGGCTATTCGGCACAGATACAAAATAAAGGTCAGAGAAATAAAGAGAAATGTTAAAGGTCCTATATTACTCAAAACTGACTCTTGTTAAGCTTTAAGCCGTGTTATAATGACCTGGAGTTGTGTTTTGTTTCCCTCACAAATATTTGAATAACCTTTTAAATGTTCTGTTCCAGCTTGTGATGTCATGAAGTGGTAGTTTTCAAGTTAACAGCTTTTTTTTTTTTTTGCCCTTAGCTCAGTTGAGATTGGTAATCATCCACATGATCTTAGTGAAGGTGTGTGGAGTTGCAAAATACAGTGGAGCACTTCCTGTATTAATACATGACATCACAAGGTGGAACAGAATGCTTTCAGTTTGTGGGAAGAACTCAGCGTAAATTTGAATGAAACAAAACACAACTCCAGGTATGATTGTGATGAGGAAGCAACATTATAACAGAGATCAGAAAATAACATAATAGTGGCACTTTAAATTCATTCAAGTTAAAAAAATAATAATAATAATAAGGTGTATTTGTTTGACAGAGATTCCAATGATTGCATTAGTGGACCAGTCTGTAGGCTAATTGACTAGTCAACTAATCATAAAATAAAGTAAAAAATGTATTATTTCTGTAGTATTTTGTAGATAAAAAAAAAATACTTCAAGAAAAATGTGATTCTCAAGACTTGGTGACTTCTTAATAGAGTTTTGTTACAAATAAAGCCTATATGTATTATTTTGTACTACTGTCTTTGCTATATTTTACTGCATACATTGAGTGTTCTTAAAGAACTGCTTTGTGATCTCTTTATTGCACCCCAAAAATACATTACTAAGTTAAAATAAACATAAAATTGAATTGCTGTTTAACTTATTGATTAATAAAGAAGTGCTCTCCTCTTTTTCCCAGGGCAATATATGCAAGGACATCTGCACCTCCTGCTTCTGTGTGTGGTGCTCCTGGTGTCAGATGCATCGTGAGTTAAGAGCACGTGACAAAACTCCAACTATGGTGACGGTGACCAACGTGGTGAACATGCAGCCAGCCCCGATGATGATGATGGGCCAGGGTCCTGTGATCCACCAGAACTTTACAGTGGGATAATGTGGGGTGGGATCAGGAGACAGCACTATATCACATTAAAGTAAAGTATGACCTATGTTGGACTATTACAAACTCATTTAAGATCGTTATATTTAACATTTAGCTAAACATTGTATAATTCTTTTCCCACTTTGGAAGTTTTTTTACGGCGCCATGGAATTATCAGAGTATCAGAAGTATCAGAAACTAAACTTTTGGATAGAATTCTCCCCAGTGTGCTGCCATCCATATGTTTTAGAACTCTCCACTTCCTGTAATTTTCAACATATTTTTCAACTGTTTCTCAAAAAGTGCTTCTTAATTTGTGTAAAACTATCACTTATATTTACAACAGGAATTATCCCTCCAAAAACGTATTTTGGTGAGATAATACCTGTTTAAATGAAACAGAAAATGCACACCAAAGTTCTTATAGAGGTGCAAATACAAGGAGCGGCAATTAAAAAGTGAAAAAATGCATTACACACTGGTTGATTTTGGACATCAGCCATCTGAGTGTGCTATGCATTTGTTTCATTTCAACAGGTATCATCCCACCTAAATAAATAAAAATTAGAGAATCATCAAAACCTGTCCGAATGATGAAAAGTTAGTACTGTTGCCATAGTGACTAATAGGCCTGTCATGATAACAGATTTTGAAGCACGAGAAATACTGTGATAAACAATAATACTGAAAATACGTTATGTCACTGATACAAAGTAAAATGTTGCTTACAGTTAACAAAAATATGAAATAAAGAAAATAAAAAATTGAGAGACCAAAATCGGAAAATGAACGATGAAATGTATATATTACGAATTATGTTCAAATTTCGTTTTGTCTCGTGGACCCAGTCTCACATCTCGTCTCGTTTTGTGGAAATTGTATTTTGTTCCATCCCTAATAATTAGCCATAGTACTGTAGTAGTTATTTTACTCTCTACAGCAGATAAGCTCAACAATTCAACATTAAATATTATATCTTTTGAATTGTCAGTCGTCCTCAAAATAGCACCGTATAGCAAAAAGCTGAAACAAATGAATATTTTTAAAATTGAACTGAAGGACAGGTCAGAATTTTATAGTAGAATTTGTCCTTTAAAAATTTAAATATTATATTACTGGGCACATAAAACAAAAATTAACATTGAAGTCGAAGTAGTTGTTCAAGTAGAAATAGTGACTGACAATAAGATTGAACTTTCATTGATTTTATGTTTGAGTATTTTAAAACTTCTACATTTTTACATAGGTCCCTGCCCTCTATCCCTCCTCCTGAAATTTGAACACTAAATTATACAATGTGAACATAATGTATACTATGTTTTAATTGTTGTGTATGATGACGAAACAAGTGGGGTCCTTGTGAATCATTAAAAGCTAAAAGTTGATAATAAATTGACTTATGTAAATTACTAATCACTGAATCACTGAAAATAAAGAAATAAACCAGAAAGATTTGAACAGGTATGTGGTGTGTGACTCATTTGTTACCACAGCAGCAAAACGCAGAAGAGTTTATAATATTTTTTTGATAGGGATAAGTATACATACTACAACTTTTATGGCCAAGGCTTTTACAGAAAGGCAAAAACACGCAGGGTAAATGCAGGTTTTCACTGGTGGTTTATTACTGCTTACATGTCTGACTACTCTTTAAAGGTCCTACTGCAAAACGTAATATCTCAGTAAGTGAAAAGGACTTAAAATTAAGAACATTTTCCTTTATTTGAGTAGATTCAACTTGACAAGTAAAATGATCTACCAATCTATCAGTGGAACAAGTGTGATTTTCTTAATTCAGGCAACATTCGATTTTGGAATACAGGAAGTTTTAAAAACATAACAGGTGTTTTAAACTCCATACACCTTCATTACAATTATTTGGATGATTTCAACACTGGAATTGCAAAAGGTGGAACAGAGCATTTTGAGCTTTGCAGATGTAGACAGACAAATAATAAAGGATTTATCAATGTGTGAATGAAACAAAACACAACTCCAGGTCTGTTTGCAATGAGGTAACAGCATTATATCATGACTTAAAGCTCACAAGACTTTATTTACTGTAATATAAGCTCTTAAAAATGTGTTTAAATTCATGTTTAAAACCTCCCCAGTTTAGGACATAAGGTGTTAGGCCTTGGACAGAGAATGCAGACTGCTCAGGGACACTTTCACATTCCCGTTAAGAGCCTCCAATAATATGACAACAAACATGACTAAAAGAAAATGTCTCTATAAATTAGGGATGCCATATCATCAAAGGTCTCACAATAATATTGTGGACCATCACAATATATCAAATTACAAGTCCTTTTGCTTAAATACATAGTTATGATACAGGAATAGCTACGAAAAAACAGAGGGAACTACATAGACCATGATCCTTTGCTCTACATGACTACATGAAGAAATAACAGTTATAAGCACTTTTAATCTTAGTTCTTTGGATTAAATCTTGTCAAAGTATTTGAAGAGGAAAAAGTAGAATATTCACAGTTGTATATTGTAAAAATACTGTAAAGGATTTGGATATTGTTGCATCCCTACTATAAATGCAACACAGAAACAGATGAAAACAAGTAGAGGGTGCAGTACCTCTATAAAAAGTGAAGGGAGGTAGAGTGGTACTCATGCACCATTTACTGTGAAATGAAACTTAGATGTGAGATTGTTGAAGATTCAGTTTCATTGTGATTTTGAGAAGAGGGTGACTCCACAAGTTCCACAAGTTCACCCATGCACGTTACTACACCGTACTACATTTTTAGCACTTAAAGCTGTCAAGAGGAAGCAGCTCAAAAAGGCGTGGGTTCAAATGTCCTTGTGTGGCACTACAAAAAAAAAAAACAACAACAACAACAATGCAATTAAAAGTATGTTGAGAGCTATTTCTACTGCATTGAAAGAGACTGTTTGCTTTATTGTAATTCCAGAGTGTGGTCATAGTTAAATAACACACATAGACCGTCTTCAAGGCATTTATTCGGCTTAATTGGTGTCGTAGTAATGAGTACGTATGTGGTGATAATAATACAGTACATACAATATTTGGTATAGTTAAAATGATGTTGAGATAGAGTTGCACACATCATTTGAAAAGTGAACTAAAAGGGTCACTACGCAACATTTTTGGTGGAGAGTCTGCCACCTGCTTATCCTCATGGAGGTTTCTTGCATTGTATGGAATAATATAGCATTAACTAATTATCCATGTTGCATTTATTTCATTATTGATGTTAAATGATGTTATCATTTACAAAAAAACTAAACAAAACAAAACCTTGCAGTCTTAATGTGAGTGAGATCGCCTCTCTGCAGATCTGGCTTGTAACCTGGCCTAGTGGCGTAACTTGTTTGTTTCTATGGAGAAAGGCAAGTTTAATACTGTGCCTAGGTCTGGGTATCATTAAAAAGTTGCCGATACAATACATATCTCGATACATAGGCCATGATATGATACAAATCTCGATACAGTGCACTGTTCGATATATTTTAAATCTATTAGATACAGTTCAATAAAAAACAAAAGCTTATGGGTGATTCTAAAAGTCTTTGTGAAACCACTTATTGTGCAAAGTTCATATGAAAATGCCCCATTTTTCTGATCAAAACAGTGAAAATGTCAAATGTGTTGCATAAACAAGTTTCCTCCCACTAAACAAGCAACAACTGTAGCTGTAACAAAATAATGTACAGTATTTTCCGCACCATAGGGCGCGCTCATAAGCCTCCAACCCCATCAAAAAATGACTGCGCCCCCCGCAATCCAGAGCGCCCTATACACAAATCCACTCGGGTGTCCCAGCACGACTACAAAGTCGCACGCAAACACATACAGAGCAGACAGTGACCGCGCAGCAAAAAACACCCACAGCCACACTCATCACTCCACGCCAACGAGAAATGGAACGGAGGAACGAAGCAAAAAAGCGAGTGCAATGTGCCACTTCTAAACACAACTGAACAACTGAGTCGCTGCGAACACGCCGACAATCCAGCGGTTCCAGACAGCACCCTCCCTACATGCCACAGTTTAACAAAGCCCAGAATCACCATGAACGCGCCAAACAAAGTCCCACTGACCCATCCAACTGCTGTGTTTCCTTTAAAGTCCGGTGCGGTTTATTTGTGAAAACAGTTCCAAACTAGACCATTCAATGACAGTGTGCTTTATAATCCAGAGTGCCCAATAGTGTGGAAAATATGGTAGTGAAATATAAAAAAAAAAATACTCTTGGTGATATATCAATACATCACCCCACCATTTCGATACTATATCATCACATTAAACAATAAGATATATCAATATTTCAATATTTTTGGACACCCCTAACTGTGCCATACTGTGGAACATTACTGAACAATAAGTATTTTTTCTATTGAGACATACAGGTGGCAGATCCTGCACCAGAAAAGTTACAGAGTGAAACTTTAAAACTACTAGCCCATAATTATTAAGTGTTTATTGGTTTCAATCAGAGTTCTTCTTGTTTTGAAAGATTTTCTGAGAACTATTGCAACATGATAAAGTCTGATAAAAAAAAAAAAATGCTTGTCATGATACATCTTTATACACAAATATGTCTTGCTCTTACTGTTTTAACACATTTAAAGTTCATTTTTATTTTACAGTCTGTGCACTTTCTTGTCAGATAAATATTGTTTGCAGTACGGCGAATCTTTCACTAATACAATAAAACTTGGTGTCCCCGCTTTGACGAAATACCTGTAATCAAAAGAGAAAGCATTTAATGGAATGAATGTGAAGAATGTATAAGGAAATAAGGCAAAGGTAATAGACAGTATATATAGCACATTTCCTGGAGCGTGGGATTAATTTGAATGATCTGGGGACAACACCGAAACTAAACAATGTCTAAGTATGTGGACTTTCCTGTTTGATTTTCTTTCCCTATCAGTTTATACAGACCTATTAAAGACAATACATTTTATTTTATAGCATGTAATAATGTCATTTTATTATATCCATTATTACTTATTTCAACAGTATTTTATTTTTACTTGTACAATAATGATGCCTTATTTGACACTCTTGCTCTTTTTTAATATAATATAATGTGATGTGTGAGTTACTGTGTCCAAATAATTTTCCTTATGGATTAATAAAGTTTGTCTAAAATGTCTAAAATGTGTCACAGAACAGACATATTGTAAAAGCAGCATTTTATTGTCCCCAAACCAGGAAGCGCTGTTAGCCTGTTAGTTGTTTTTAGCATTACCATGGCAACAAAACTCCACTCTGACCTCTGAAAATTGTGAGAAGCTCTTATAAACTCACCGTGGTGAATAATTAGAACGCTTGGGATATGTAAGGAAAGTGAGGAATAAGTTTGGACGATGGAAAACTGTTTCAAAATGAACTAGTCCTGTTTAAGACACTAAACATCAGGTACAGCGCCTTTAGTGGAATAAAAATAGCTGTGTGTTTATTTGACATCTAAATTTGGTTGGCCCAGAACTTTTTAAAACTGAATGAAGAAAAGACTGAGGTGATACTATTTGGGGCCAGCAGTCCCCTCATTAATGTGGGACCCCTCAAAAATTATGTTTGTCCCACAGTCACTAACCTTGGCGTCACCTTAGACAATGATTTTAAGTTTGACAAGCAGATCAATGGTGTTTTAAAATCTAATTTTTATCATTTGCGGCTTTTATTATTATTAAGTCAAACCTTTTTTATCTTTTAGACTTTTTGAACAAGTTATGCACGCTTTTATTTCATCACGCTTGGACTACTGCAATGCACTTTATTCCAGCATCTCACAAAACGCACTTTACCGACTACAGTTTGTCCAAAACTCTGCAGCGTGACTTTTAACAGAAATCAAAAGACAGAGCGCATTACCCCAAACCTTGCGTCTTTGCACTGGCTTCCTGTTCATTTTAGAATTGATTTTAAGATTTTATTGTTTGTTTTTAAAGCTTTGAATGGACTGGCCCCACAGTACGTCTCGGACCTCATCCAAGTTTACACTCTCGCGTGCGCTCTGAAGTCCAAGTTCCCGCTCCAGCTCGTGGTGCTTAAGACGAGACTTAAAACCAGGGGGATCAGGACCTTCTCTGTGGTTGGCCCTAAGCTCTGGAACGCTCTGCCCCCCATGTCCGAACAGCCCCTTCAGTGGAGTGTTTTAAGTCTTGTCTTAAGACCCACTCTTATTCTCTGTCTTATTATTCTGTGTCTTTTATTTATTTAATTAATTTTTTAAATGTATTTTAATTGGTTTTATTTATTTATTGCTATTCTATGATTTTGCTTTACTGGTGTTATTATTTTAAGACTAGTATGATTATTTTAATAGTTTATTTTATCATTTTATTATTGTTGTTATTATTATATATTTGTGCAGCACTTTGGAAACTTGTGAAATGTGCTATAGAAATGAAGTGGATTGGATTGGAAATTACCGCTGATGCTGTAGAACTTTGAGAAGTGAAGTCCTTAAGTTGACCTGGTAAAGTACCTCTTGTTGTTCATCTTCAAAAAATAACTAAAAAGAAAATAGATGATTATAATTACTGTATTAAAACCCACATAAGGTATTAAAGGTAAATATGTAGTGGTACAGACCTGGAGATTTGAAGGACGGTACTTTTGATTTGTGTCCCATGGTGGAAGCTCTTCACCAAACATGAGAGACAGGTGATCTGAGAAGCTGGAAATGGGTTACAATGTATTTTTAAACAAGTTAAATACAAAATAATGCCCGACTAATGATTGATCGCGTCCTCCTTATACATGTATGGACCAAACAACAAAAGAAAAAGCTGAAAAAGTGCAAGTTTTTCAAGTTTTTTTAGTGCTACATAACACTCACTATCTGCATCTAGTATCTTACCATCAGTGAGTGTGAAGTGAATTAGATTAGATGTTGTCATTTATTATCAGGTCATCAGTCTGAATAAACAAAGACAATTACAAATGACTGACTCTTGACAGATTAAAATATAATCAACTGTCACGCAGTTTTTTTCTTGGTAGATTACTACACAAGATCTCGTGCCACAGGATTCACCACAAAAAATAGTTGAAGGGCTGGTGATTTATGCAATTTGAGAAGCTGTAGTTCCAAGAAGTAGAAGTACAATCACTGCTAAAGCATTACATAAAATAAATATTTAAAAAAGCCAAAATTGTGTAATGGATTGCAGTACTTTGTTATTTCAAATTATGCCAAAAACTCATCTTGTCTTGTTCTCGTGGACCTAATCTTGTAGTGGGTCTCGTGAAAATTGCGGCTTGTGGTTGCCCTTCAGTAAGCAATTAGTTCTAAATAACTATCACAATTTAGTTTTCAACAATTAAATAAACTGTGGCAATGATGACACAATATATTAAAGGAGCACTGTGTAACTTTTTGGTTGGGGGTCCGTCACCTGCTTGTTTCTATGGATATGGCTTTGCTTAGCCTGGAATGTCCCTCAGTAAACGGCTCTATCTTGCATTTATTCATTACAGGTGGTTTTACAGCTCAAAAATACCTAGCAATTCTGACTGTAAGCGGGGTCGCCTCTCCACAGATCTGACCTGTAACTTGGTCTGATTTGGGCTCCATGAAGATATAATGTTTTAATACCATACTGTGACATTCCAGACATTCCAGAATTCCTAACATTCCAGACAAAGCAATAACTTTTCCATGGAGAAAACCGTTTGACCTGAAACTACGACCAGAAAAGTTACACACTGCACCTTTAAGTCGACATTTACCAGTGGTTTTCGCAGAAGGCGGAGATGAAGTCACTCTGCTGGTGTTCAGGATAGAGGAAGAGGACTGGCCAGTAGAGGGCTCCATCCTCCTGGTTTAGATAGACCTGCGTCCCGGTGACCTCCTGTGAACTCAGACCATCCAGACTGAGCTGTGAGAGGCCACGAGACGAAGATTCATCATCATCGTCGTCACTGTCAGAGCCGTGCTGAGGCTGAGTAGAGGGGAAGAACTTAATGCCTCTCTCCTATGAGCAAAAAATCAACACAAACACTGGTTATAAACTTATCCTAACATTTCAATTAGTTTGGACTGTTTACACGTTTAGTTCACTTAAATATAGATATCTAGATCCCCCCTATTTTAAGAGTTATTACGTCAACTGACACTTTCTGAATGCAAAAGTTGTACACTGGGGACCCCTTGTGGCAGAATAGGTGTATAATCTAAAATTAGTCCTAAACTCAGTCTGCTGTATGCAGTAATTAGTGCATGAACAAAAGTGAGACACAGCTGTACACAAGCCCAAGGAGTGGTTCAACTGGAGCTTGCAGCCTAGTTAAGGCTGTGAGGTACAGAAATCACTAGGTACCAATTTTAAAAGGACAATCCTTTTAGAAATACTATTAATCGCCAGAGATTGCTGGGGTTTTATAAATAAATTACATGATAATTATTAAAGCATTATTAGAAACCAATCAGTACAGAGGGCCTAATATGGAGGGAAATCCACTCAAGGTTTTGAGGCACCTAGTAGCAGTTAGTAACGCTGTCACACTCTGAGAATGGACACATCACTGAAGACTCTTTTGATTTGTTTGTGAATTTCAGTTGAAGTATTATCTATAGTAATATAGTAAAAAAAAAAAAGTAAGATAGATCTGGCAGTTTTGCATTGACAACTGGTTTCAGTAGAAAAAGAAAAAAAATGACATTACATTAAAGTTGTCAAAATGTCAAATTGTGAACAAATAAACAGTATAACTGTTATACTTCCTTTTACATCAGAACTTGTTACAAGTTTTGCTTGTATTTTCGTGCTATATTAAATTCCCTTAATTTGAATGTCTTAAAGGTGCCCTGTGTAACTTTTCTTTTGTTGGGGGTCCGTCACTTGCTTGTTTGTATGGATGTGTCATTGCTCTGCCTGGAATGTTCCACAGTATGACATTAATCTATCTACCATATTTTCCGGGCTATTAGGTGCGCTCTTAAGCCTCTAACCCCATCAAAAAACAACCAATCGCCCCGCAATCCAGAGCGCCCCATACACAAATCCACTCGGGTGTCCCAGCACGACTTCAGTAAACTACAAAGCCGCACCACCCGCATCGCACGCAAACACACACGGAGCAGACAGCGACTGCGCAGCAAAACACACCCACAGCCACACTCATCACTCCATGTGGACGAGGAACGGAGGAACAAACCGAAAAAGCGAGTTCAATGTGCCACTTCTAGCCACAACTGAACAACTGAGTCACTGTGAACACGCCAACAATCCAGTGGTCCCAGACAGCACCCTCCCTACACACCACAACTGAACAAAGCCCAGAGTCACCGTGAACGCCACAAACAAAGTCCCACTGACCCATCCAACTGTTGTGTTTCGTTTAAAGTCCAGTTTGGTTTATTTGTGAAAAAAGTTCAAAAATAGACCATTTAATGACTTATAATAATCTTATAATCCAGAGCGCCTAATAGCCCGTAGAATATGGTACATTTATTCAATTATAGGTGCTATTACAGCTAAAAAATATTTAGAAAAACAGGCAGGGTTGCCTCTCCACAGATCTAATATGGGTCAAGAATATTTACACAATGCACCTTTAAGTTGTGCGGTGTAGTAAATGCATTTCTTAATTTCTTCTCAAGATGTATAAAGAAAAAAATCTTTTCCAATCAGTAACAGACCTTTATAATGTTGAGTAGAGTTTCCTTCTCCCCGAGCAGCTTCTTTTCCTTTGCTTTGGCTTTTCTTGCATCTCTCTCAGCTGCTCTCTGCAACACAACACACAAACTCCAATTACATTATATATTAAAATCAATGCACTTTTCTCAATAATAATAATAATAAGACCTATTACCTTGTTTTTGTCTGCCGTGGCTCTGAACTCTAGTAGTTTCTTGTCTGTGGGGTAAAGTTTGAGTCCCTCGTCGCACCATTTTAAGGCGTCTGCAAAGTTACGCAGCTCTATGCAGCACTGAGCACCTACAGACAAGATAACAATGCAATTGTAATCACTTTCATATCAAAACTGTGACTGAGTATAATATATATAATATCTATACAAGACAAATTTGGTTTAAAAGAATAATGTATTTTCTTGGTAACTGAATTATTTGATTGGTACCAATATCAGCTGCTATACCAGGAGAAGTTCGTGAATTTATACAGAATACTGGGAAAAGCTATGAGGCATTTTGAAGAATTGAAGAAAAATAGGTAATAAAACAATATTCACACTGGGATAGTGATCATAATTGAAATGAGCAAATTATAATGTCAAGATGAGTTAATAGTTAATTGGGAGAAGAGATGTCATAATACAGTATATTCAGACATTATTTTAGGGATTGTGAGAATTTCAGAAGCAGAAATACACATTTTTCTAATAATATTAACACTTAGAATTAAATAAAAATGTATATGAACTAAGGATTTCACGATTCTATTAGTGAAGATTTTATTCTTAGCATAAATAATTCTCAAAAAGTGTAAAATCTCTTGGCCAGGGCTCCACTGAAAAAGAGCTTTTTCATCTTAATGGGCTTTTTTTCCTGGTTAAATAAAATTGAAATAAAATAAAATAAATTTCTAGTGCTTCTATTTTTATTGTTACAGTAATCCTATATTACACTGGCTTTTAAGTCAAGTAGATTTTCTAAACTTTTATCTGTGTTCTTACCCTTGTTTTACTCATATTTTATTGTGTTTTACTCCTATTTTTTACTTGTGTATTCTCATAATTTTTTTTAAATCCATATTGTAAAGCATTTTTGGGGCAGTACTGTCTCTTTTTAAATGTGGAATATGATGAATATGATTGACTGAGATTCAGGAGCAGGGATACACTTCAACCTCCCCCTGCTCCTCTCCGGTGAACCACAGCTCAGCTCAACCACACCTTCAATTACCCAGAAGCCCCATTTATACAGGCCTATCCTGACAACACCATCTGTCTCCGCTCTCTCGACCCCTTATCTCTCACCCTGTGTCTCTCATTCATCCTTCAGCCTGATGACATCATCTAGACAGAAGCGGGTGTCCTGAAATCCTGAGTCTTCCCCCAGCCATCACATTTATCCATCGTCAATAAAAATCTTTATCATAGTCCATCGTTGTGGAGTGGTCGTTGCTAGTGAAGTGCTATATAAATAAACCTTGACCTTGACTCATTTTCAAGTATAATTTTGAACAGAATTGAAATGAACGAAAATCACTTTGTAGTAGAAAAATTCATTTTAACATGTCCTTGAACATATTTACTGTTATACTTATCTGGCCCCAGTTTCTGTCAGTACTTTTCCATTGAAACTGGCATTCCTCTCTCAGGTGCATCCCCTCACTGTCCAGTCCTCTCCTCATTATTTATGTCATGATGACCTTCTACATCCCTTTGTGGGACTGCCCCACGCTCTCTCTCTATCCTTCTTCTACCTGATCTACTCTCTTCTCTTGCAAGAACATAAACCCCACAAAGACAATTGTTTGAGTTAAGATCTCTATTTCGTTGTCACCCAAATATTTCCACAATAACTTTAAACACACACCTCTAATCAGGGCTTTGAGATGATCTGGCTTCAACTTCTTTGCAGCTGTAGCATCGTTTAACGCCGAACGCATATTACCTGCAAGAAAACAGATTTAAAAATCACACCAAAAACGGTTACATAAAACATAAAGCTATAAAATGTAATAATGTCAAATATCTTTACCCAGATAAAAATGCGTAGCAGCCCGGTTGGAGTAAATGATTGTGTTCAGTTCCAGATTTTCACACTTCATTTTGAGAGCAGCCGTATAGGAGACAAGGGCGAGTGTGTACTTCTTAGATTTAAAATAAGAGTTGCCTTCATTTTTCAGATCTTCGGCTTTTTCTAAAAACACAGAAAAAAGAAAAAGGTGATGTTTTAATTGTGCACGACGCAACATTTTTAATGGAGGGTCTGTCGTCTGCTTGTATTAGTGAAGATGTAAGTGCTTTGCCTTGAATGTGAAGTATTTTCAGTCACAGGTGCCTTTGTTGCTAAAAGGTAGTTAAGAAGGTAAGTAAATATGCTAAGAAGGTATCTATGAATGGCTTTGAACATTTGAGTCCTACTAACACATTTGTAAATAAGTCCCACATAGATTCTTTATCATTATTATTATTATTGCCCTTTAAAAGTCCAGTATTACCCAAAATGGATTCTCGAGCTTTAAATCATGTTCTAATGTTTGTAACTCATCAAAAACATATCCAGAGTTGTGTTTTATTTCATTCGCACGTATCTGAGCAGACCTGGTCATTGTCCAGCTCCCAGGCCACATATGTTGACTCTAACTGGCCCATTTAAGATAATTTGGAATTACAAAATAAACATATTTTATAATTTTACTAAAGTTGGACTAAAGCTGGACTAAAGCTGCTTTGGTTTTATTTTGGAGGTGTTTTTAATAACATTTTGTAAGGCAACCTCACTTTTTCATTGCTTAGTCATAACATAAACTCTTTCCAGTCTTACCAGCTTGTCAAAACAATGCTTTTTTCTGCTTTTTATAAAAAAAAAAAAAACAATTCATATTATGCAGAATTGAGTGAAGTATTTTGGCCCGGCCCTCCACAATATTTTCTTGTATTTGAGTAATTCTTTATTTATCAGCCTAATGGTCTGTCAACATCTCCAAAGCTCCAAATCCTCTGTTCCACATTGTGAGGTCATGTAGTGGTAGTTTTCAAGTTACCTTTACCTTTTGTTCAGTAAAGATGGGCAATTTCAGGACTGAAATAATCCAAATGATTCTAGTGAAGGTGTATGGAGAACAGAGTGAAGAACTTCCTGTATTACCACATGACATCACAAGGTGGAACAGAGTGTTTTCTTTTTGAGAGCCGAACTCAGCCTAAATGTGCAGAATTTGTGATAAATATGTGCGAATGAAATAAAACACAACTCCAAGATATGTTTTTGATCAGAAAACAACATAATAGCATATATAAGAAAATAGTGTAATATGAGATTTTTTAAAATGTAGTCTCAGTCAGAGGTTGTTTTTAATTCTAAAATCATGGCATGTCACAGCCCATTTAGCCCATGCTTTTTTTAAAAATTTTTTATTACGGTGGTACTTGGATAAAAGTGTATTAACTTTAGTACTGTGGCAAAGCATTACTTCAAATAAAACAGTGAGGTACCTTCTGGCGTGCGGTCCTCATCATGGATCATCGCCTGAAGAGCAGCCAGTCCAGGGTATTTCTTTGGGTCAATTTCGTCTGGAGCTTTGGTCATAAAAAGAGGAATTCTCTCCATCTCCTAAAATAACAGCATGACAGATCTTCTCAACAAGGCAGTTTTTCTGAGTAAAAATAAAGTGACCAGTAACAACAGGAAAACAAAAGTTTGACAAAGTTGCTTTTCATACAGAATTTTGTAGCAATTAAACATACATCTTCATTTTCTATGGGGTTGAAACATGATTCAGTTTCAGTAGCCTACGATAAATGTTTAACTGATTGATTTCTTTGTATTTACTATTCTTAAATTCTCTCAAAATGATAAGACAAGAGGAAGGAAAATAACAAGAGCTAAAATGTTTTATTGCACTACGTACGATTTAGCTTTTTTCCATAATTGTTTCCATTATATAGAGACGTAAATTGTTCATCACAGGCTTACAGAAAATAAGTCTTGTTATAGAAAATTTTCTGCTTTTCCCCTTTAATGTGATTTTGAAATACATGTTCTGTTTACCTCTTCCCAGTTGTCCTCACTAAAGGCATGTTTATACTTTTCGGTCTTGAATTTGTCCACAAACGCATCCATAACTTCATCTTCGCTGTCGTTTGCCATATTTGTTCTTTTTTGTAATGTAAATATGTTGCAAAAATTGAATATTCGTGTCTTTCGTGTTTTCACACGTGAACTGTCGGTACGAAGTGTATTGAGGTCCGTGCGGAAACAAAGGAAGGTACATTAGTTCTGGGGTAATGTTGCCATTTAGTGCTGTGTACTTCAGAAAATATTTATTTCAGCTCATTTGAAGCGAAAATTAAATAAGAAGCGTAAGAATAGGTTAGAGTGACCACACGTCCCTATACCTGGGACAGTCCCAATTTTGAGTCCTATGTCCTAGCAGATTTATCCAAAACCAGTGTTTTGTCCCAGTTTTATAGAAAAAATGTCCTAAGTGTCCCTATTTTTGACCAGTTTGACCCTGCCAACAGTAAAGAGAGGCATAAATTATCATTTGGTTCAGTAAAATACAGAAAAGCTGCTTAAAAACGACCAAACACAAAGAAAATCGGACTATAGTGACTCACATGTCCTGAATAAGTTATGAATGGGCCGAGTGCAGAACAATTTTCCTTAATTATACACTCGTTTCACAATTTCATTGTTATTATTGTTTTAATTTTAATTACTTAATAAATGTATTACTATATTATCAGAACCCCAAAATGGCGGTATCCCAGTTTTTGATTTTGAAAATTTGGTCACCCTATACATATCAGCCCAAAAATATCAGCAGAGGTCATCAGTCTATATTGGCATCAGATGTGAAAAAACACATATCGATGTATCTCTTAATTTTCATTACTCAATGAATAAAAAAAATTTACTTGCATAACACAATACTAAAAGTAATATATATTGTTTATTTTTCACCATCACCTGTACACACAACATCACACTTACATTATTTATACGGTTTCAACAATCTGCAGCAGATCTAAGAGTCCATCTTTACTGAGAAACATTGTCTCCCCACTTTTCTGGCAGATCACCTCAAACTTGGGCTGCTCCTCTAGTGCCCCCTGCCCCACTACAATAACAAAAGGATAACCCAGTCTCTTAGCATCTTTTAGTCTTTTCCCTATGGTCATGTGAGTGCGGTCATCCATTACAACCTCCCCTTTCAAACTAGGTAAGGTTTCTCCTAAACTGTACGCCATATCTTCAGCTATATTCGAGGCTTCATCTGCTTTGCTTCCCTTTTTAGGTGGCAGCACGCACACTTGGTAGGGGGCAAGGAGGTCCGGCCAGTGAATCTCGTCATCTGTTGATAGGACTTCAATTGCAGCAGCTAGAATACGAGTCACTCCTAAACCATAGCAACCCATTTCTGTAATCGTAGCCTTGTTTTGGGTGTTGCTAAATGCAGCGTTGAACATTTGTGAGTACTTTTTACCCAAATAAAACGTATGACCAACTTCTATTCCTTTTGATTGCGCTAGACTTCCTGTTTTGCATTTGGGACAGTTGGTTTGGTCCAATGGCAAAGTCTCTACGTTAGCAGAGAAGGAGCAGGAACCGCACACCAAAAGCCTATCTTCTCCAATATCTGCAGGAAGCTGAAATTCGTGAGACAGTGTTCCTCCGATGTTTCCCGTGTCGGCTTGTACCTGAACGCATCGCAGGCCCAGACGAGTGAACAGTCTGGTGTAAGCTTCACAGACAGACTCGTAAGTTTGATATGCAGCTTCTTCGCTCATGTCAAAAGAGTACATGTCCTTCATGTAGAACTCTCTTCCTCGAAGGAGACCAAACTTAGGCTTCGGTTCATCTCGGAATTTACGGGTAATCTGAAGAGACAAAAGTATTTTATTAAAGATAATTCTAATGTTATTAAAGATGCACTGTGTAACCTTTTAGTTGGGGGTCCATCACCTGCTTATTTCTATCAATATGTAATTTCTCTGTCTGGAATGTTCCACAGCATGACATCAAACAGCTCTACCTTACATTTATTCAATTACAGTTGGTTTTATAGCTCAAAAATCCCTAAAAAAAACAGGCATTCTGACTGTGAGTGGTAGGTTTCCTCTCCACAGATCTGACCTGTAACTTGGTCTGGTTTGATCTCCATGAAGATAGAAAGGTTTAATTTATACTGTGAAACATTCCAGACAAAGCAGTAACATCTCCATGAAGAAAAGCATGTGACAGACCCTCGACCAGAAAAGTTACACAATGCACCTTTTATGTGCAGTTGCAGTAATTATACAAACAGCCTGCAGTGTACCTGGTAGAGCAGCAGGGGAAGCTGTCTGTGGGACAGTGTGGTCTGATGGGCCACTAGTGTTGTAACTGCCTCTTCGTGGGTGGGGCCCAGGCAGTAGTCTGATCCATGACGGTCCTTCAGCCTAAACAGCTCCTTCCCCATCAGCTCCCAGCGGTCACTGGTCTTCCACAGATCAGCAGAGCATAGACTGGGCATGTCCAGCTTCTGCCCTCCGATCCCCTGCATCTCCTCGTCTATCACTCGCACCTGAGGTTCAAATACCAGGAAATGTTACTATTTAGACATTTCTTTTCACTTTTTATACTAAAAAAAGCATTTAAATAGAGATTTTAGTTTTTTATTTTATGAAAACAGAGGCTGTGTATCACCTCAAAATACTGGAACATTTAACCATCTAAGCCACTGTTATTGCATCGTATTAAAAATGTTATTAATTCCTGCTATTTTAACTGTGACCAGGGGCGTCAGGCTATTTATTAGAGGGGGCCCATGTGAGTCTTCTTGCTCCGGGACCCCAAATTTCTGTTGACGGGCCTGACTGCGACAACAGTAAAAAATAGTCATCTTGATGTTAAGGTAAAGAGGAGTTAAATAATATTTTCCTCTCTTTACAGCTATTTTTTTTTTTTTTTTAGATTTTTTTATAACTTAAATGAATATAAGCAGCGCACTTTTACACCTACTCAAAAGAATAATAATTTTATAGCAACAGTGGTCCTCAAGTCAAGCTCAAGATTTGGAGATGGGTCCCCAGGTTCTGCTCCTAAAAGGATGCAAAGGATGAATTTCCCTGTGCTAATCTATAAAGCCTATTTAAATTTAACCTTGAAATGTCAATTTAAAACATAGATGTTTTTTCTTATTAGGTATCCTCTCACCAGTTTCTCCATGGCGCGCACAGTGGCAGGGAGGTAGTAGTAGCAGCCTGGGTTAGAGGGGTAGACAAGTCCTGCCTGCTGCATGAGCCTCTGACTCTTACAGGTTTGCTCCCCCTGCAGGCGGCTGTCAGGTCCTACATCGCGCAGGTTTGAGGGCTGGTACAGGCGAGACACTAGAGGCAGAGATCGGGGGCGAGAAAGATGAGGAGAGGGCGAAGGAGCGAAGGAGGAGTGGTGAGTGCAGCCTGAGTGGTTCTTTCGGAGGAGAGCCAGAGGTCTGTGGAGTCTTTGCCACACTCTGGGCCAAATCTGGTGCACTACAGGCTCCATAGTGGCTTGCTTCTACTAAAACATAAGGCAAAAATTACATATCAATACAAATAAATGCATTAACATCCTGTATCACCCTGTCATGATAAGAACATTTGAAGTACAATACACTGATACAAAGATATACAGTAATAAATTGCTCAGAATATATATGAATCAACTATCATATACTGAAGGACAAATCAGTATTGCAGTTATCATGACAGGCTTATCTTGTAGTTAAATGTGCAGTATGTAACGTTCTGAGTGAAGGGTTATTATTATTCCGGTTGGCCTCATTGTGATTTCAGTAGTTTGCCTGAAATGTTCCGTAGTATTAAGCATATGTTCTCCACTGTCATTTGAGCAATAATAATACCACCTGTAAATTACATAGTCCACCTTGAAACTACACAGGAAAAACAATTTATAGAGATCCTTTTAGAGTTTGCAGATTAATGAAGATTTAGTGATCACGCATTCTATATTTTATTATAGATTTCAACAAACTTTATTGATCCACGAGGGGAATTACTTCCTATTACCCAGAGTGTACCTCCATGTGTTTTTACTGCTCCAAATTCCCTTGAAAAACACGGATTCTTTCAGATGGAGGGCTCACATCTCCATAGAGCTGAACTGTAACTTGGCCTGGCACCATTACCTGCTTATTTTCATTGGAGATAAGTTTAAAGCAGCACTGTGGAGTATTTCAGATAAGTCTTAACATCATGAAGACAAAAATCTGGCGAATCGTAAACCAGAAAAATCACACAGTGCACCTACATGTGAACATGTAAAAAAAAATACCTGTATAGAGCACAGATTGTTTCTATTATACATTTATCTGCTTCTGTCCTTGGTTATTTGGTTCTAGCTCTTGTGCATGGTGGCTTCTGAAAACTCTTGGCTAAAACTAGCGAGAAAAACAGCGCTAAGAGCGTAGAAAAAAGCTCTAATCACTCACCACTAAACCGAAGAGAAAACAACTGTAATGCTTTTTCTGGGGAATATTTTAGCTGTAAATCCAAAACATTTCATAAATAATCTGCAGATCTCACAAGTTCATCATGACAGGAGGCGGATAAAGCAGACGGACCACACCGGGCACTTCCTATCGCACTGACTGGGGTTGCCAGATCGGGTGCGCAATTTTCAGTACATCGCAAAATACAGCAGTAGTTAAATAGATGTTCTATACAGCGGGACCATGAGTGGGATAGGACGCTCTTTACTAACCACTGGAGGTAACACCGCAGCTAACAGGAGAGCAGAGCCGTGCCCTGACACAACTGATATGGCACACGTGTGTGAACACATGTCCACAGACTGGAGAGCGTTTGTGGAGGAGAGGCTGAGTGGGGAAGCTGAGGGCATATTTGTGCTGTTGAAGACCACCATAGTAAACTTAGAGGAGGAGCTGCGCCGCTCCAAACACGAGAACCAGCGGCTCCAGCGGCTCCTGAACTCGGCTCTGAAAGCTCTGAGCCCGAGAGTCGTGCTTGTCAGAGCCGGTAAGTCTTATTGACCCTACGGATCTTATTTTTAGCCTATGGATGTTAAAAAATATGAAAAGTATGATATAATGTAGAAAACAGCTCGTTAGAAACTTACGCCATGGGTAAAACAACAGAAGAACCTGCAGGACTCCATATCACTTCAGATATTGACTCTAACGTATTTATAACTTCATGGACAGAAAAGACACCCCATCAGCCTTAAAGTAGAAGACTACAGACAAGTTCACAAACTGTTCATGCCACAAGACTGCACGTGTATGTGTAAATGTGTATTCTCTCGTCTCCTGTAGCTGTCCAGCTCCCCTCTCTGAGCACTGGTCTGATTCCACACATTAAAGGAGAACAAGAGGAAGATCAGCTTCAAGTGTGAGTCTCAGACACTTTCAAATGGCAATTCTTTAATTTATTGATTCTTATTAATTTCTATTCCAAATATTCAGATTGAATTTGAAATATACAAATGTATCTTATATTTTTCAGGTCTGTCCCAGAATGTAGTACTGTGAGTGTGAAGACAGAAGAGTCCTCGCTGCTTCAACAAAGACAAACTCAGCAGAGAGAGGACATCAGAGCAGAGACACATGTACACAGAGAGGACAAACAAGGACAGGACATCAGAGCAGAGACACACATCCACAGAGAGGATGTCCACTCAGAGACTGAGGGAGACAAAGAGCGCCCTTGTGACACTAACAGTGATGAAGACTGGAGAGCTCCACTCAGCTGTTCACCTGCACACATGGACACCGGGGCTGATGGAGATCACCACAACCAAGTCCAGAAAAGAGCCAGAAGCACCACTGCACAAAACTCACGTCTGTCCCCAAAATACAAGTCTGCACCCGAGACCAGAGCCACTGTGAGCAATGGAGACATGTCAGGAAGTGGTGAAGGAGCTGAGAGCAGGACATACAAGTGCTCTGTTCTTAAAGAGAGATTTGAGTCTAAATATAAACTACAAAAACACAGGAGAGTTTACATAGGCGAGAAACCATTCAGCTGTTCGGTTTGTAAGAAAACATTTACCCGAAAGGATAATCTCAAACCACATATGACGACACACACAGGGGAGAAACCATTCAGCTGTTCAGTTTGTAAGAAAACATTTGCCCGAAAGGCTTATCTTGAAACACATATGAGGACACACACAGGGGAAAAATCATTTGGGTGTTCAGTTTGTAAGAAAACATTTGCCCGAAAGATGACTCTTGAAACACATATGAGGACACACACCGGGGAGAAACCATTCACCTGCCCAAGTCTGTAGGAAAAACTTTGCTGATAGTTCTAATTTCAAAAAACATACGAGAGTACACCATGGACTGCATACATAAATGGACATAGGTAACCCACTACTCACCATGTTCCAAATAGGAAGTTAATGTGCAGCACTTCTGGCTCCTTCTGACCCTGGCTCCCATTGATTTATATTGTAATCTTGGGGCCCCTCTCTCTGTAACTCCTGCTGTGAGCCTCGTCATTTGGTCTTAAAATGTTTGTATTAACCCGCTCTACAGGATCCTGGGTTTTTTTCTGCTATTTTGTTTATTAAAATCCCTGTCACACACTGGAGGATTCAACTGTTTTCTTTTGCTTTTGTTTTATTTCATTAAATCTGTGTGTGTGTTTTCTGTATTGATACAATAAATAGTTTTGTGTATGATATTAAATATAATAGTAATTAGGGGTGTCAAATTATCGCGTTAATTGCGATTAATTAATTACAGTCATATTTAGCGTGTTATGTTTTTTAATCGCGTTAATCTCATTTTTAATCTCTAACTTTAGTGTTTCTGTATGCGAGTTGCTTTATTATAAAACCTGTTTTTATGTGTTGTTGGGACAATAACACACACACACACACAAAAACCACATTTATACATTTTTTTTATTTCGGTAATTCCTCTCATTGCCGGAAACCCACACAAAACTCGCGCAGTAAGAGCGATGTAAACGTCATGTTAAAGCTGGCGGCGTCAGGCACAGTGGACGAGGTCGAAGAGCCAGTAGAACAGAGGCAGCAGTGCACAGGTAAAAACACATTCGTGTCTTGGAAATTATTCTCCCGACGTGAAATATAAAAGAAAATAACTAATATAATATCGCCTACAACTTAAATGTCACTGGTGAAAACAACCTGCATAGGCTCATGATGTCTGCACTACTGTCCTATAGTGACCTGCCACATGAGGGGACACGCACACAAACACACACAAACACACACACACAAACACACACCTTCATCATCGTCATTAACCTGAGAACGCGCGGACCACGTTTCCTTCCGTAGTTACTGCGCGGACACCGACGTGCTCCCGTGAGCCGCGTGTGGATCGTGTTTTCTCGCGTACGCTGCGTAAACCGCGCTTCCTCCTGTGCGCCTCTAAACCAGAACTAACACCAAGACTAAAACCAGGACTAATCCAGTCCAGGACTAAACCAGGACTAAACCAGAACTAAAACCAGAACTAAAACCAGAACTAAAACCAGGTCTAAACCAGGACTAAACCAGGACCAAACCAGAACTAACACCAGGACTAAAACCAGGATTAATCCATTCCAGGACTAAACTAGGACTAAAGTAGGACTAAAGCAGGTCTAAACCAGGACTAAAACCAGTGATCTCATATATAAAGCATTTCTCTATCAATAATATTTTTAATATGGTTAAGGAAAGACTGGACTTTTTATTGTCTTTAAGTAGACAAAAGTTATTATGTTCAGATTTCCTCGTCTTTGCTACTTTACAGCAAACAGTTTCTTATTCATGGAGACTTGGGCTCAACAGCCAATTTGGAGAGATTTGTTAAACAATAAATGACTTTATAAAGTCACTTTTTTTGTTCTATATGAGTCTTTTGATCTGCCACAATAATGTAATAATGAATTTAAATGAAAATACCTCAAATTGAAGGCTTTTCTCAGCAATTTTTAGGTGAGATTAAAATGAGATTAATTAGATTAATTAATTACAGATCATAATTAATTAATCTCTCAATTAATCGCATGACAGCACTAATAGTAATAGTATCTCTCGGTTTCAGATGACATCCCAACTTTTTTAAATGTCAATATTAATTAATACAGATGAGCACAGTTAAAACTAGTATTGTCAAAATGCTAAATTATCTTATCTACTGTTACAAGAATTACTTATTCATTGAAAATACCAGGTTCAATATTTGTGACTTTACTTTTTGGAGATTTACACAAAGTACAATGTAATCAATAGAGAAATCTGCCCTCCATCTGGGAGTCTGACATCATCTCACTGTAGAATGTGAAAACTCCCAGTAGTCTCCTTATGTTCGTATCCTTGTGTATTTTAAGCTCTAAATACAGTATTACTGTACTACTGGGTAGCAGTACTGGGTGAACACAGGCTGCACAAAAAAAAAAAAACAAACCTTGGACAGTGGTACTGCACCCACAATACAAATGAAAATACAGATATATATTTTACTGAAAAGTCAAATTCTAATAATTGCTTAAAAAATTAAATATTGACTTAGACTTTATTGATCCACAAGGGACATTATATGGACACAGAAGTTCACAAAATAGCAGGAGACTGGTGTCACAAAATAAATATAATAATATTATGAAAAAATAAAATAATAATAAATAAATATATATATATATTTAATATGAATACTGAATTCTACTGACTTGCTTGTTCAGGCTATTTATTGATTTATTTGACAAGGACAATGCATTTCAAATTTCAAATGTCGCTGACAGCCTATTGCATTAAAGTTTAGTTGTAAATGATCAATGTAAAAAGGGAAATAATGGAAACCTGATGTAAAACAGACATAGGCACTGTCTGTACATCTCTCTATTGATCGTTTTTATAGATGTGTGAGTGTGTGTATTCTGTGTCATCATGTTTTGTTGACATTATATTCACCTTGTGTTAATGTGCTCCTTCTACCTTTACTGTATAACATGTAAGGTCCACCATTTTCAACCATTATCCCCTCAGTCAGTCAATACCATGATACATACGTGATACATCTGTTGTCATGGCACAGATGGCACTCTTCTGTTTGTGTGATGTACTCTGCTTAAAGGTGCACGGTGTAACTTTCTTGTGGAAGGTCCATCAAACTCTTTTCTCTATGATGATTATTGCTTTATCTGGAATGTTTCACAGAATGGTATTAAACCTTTCTATCTTCATGGAGACCAAACCAGACCAAGTTACAGGTCAGATCTGTTTTTTTGAGCTATAAAACCATCTGTAACTGAATAAATGTAAGGCGGGATTATCCATATGGAGCAGTAACACGGTGCCCAGGGCCACCAACCATTCACAACCAGCAGGGCGGGACACCACATGACACAAAATTTAAAATATTTTTCATAAATTTGTATGTTATTTACTTGAAAATGTTAAATGGCCATACATAACTCATCATTACCACTAATTTCATAATAATAACAACAATAATAATGATGATCATACTGAACAAATCAAGATTACATGACATTCATTCCCCCAATCTGTCAGCTGAGTCAGTCCATAAGTAATGTATATTACAAATGTATATTTTTTTTTAAAAAGTGGCAGAAAGGCAGGGGTAAGGTGAGTGCATGCATGTGCGTGTGTGTGTGTACACCTGTGTGTGTGTGTGTGTGTGATGGACCCCGACCATAACGTCACACAGTGCACCTTTAAGTAAAATTTTTAGGTGTGCTTTTTAAAAATTATTATTATAGTTGCTGAAAAGCCTGTAAGTTGTAAAAAGTAAAAGTCAAGTAAAAAGTAAAACGTAAAAGTAAATTTAAAAAGTTGTAAAAGGCTTTATCTGTATCAAAATCATTACATTTGAAGCTTTACTACAATTCAAACTCTGTACAAAATACTTTTACTTTTACTTTTTACTCGAAGTACATTTTTAAACTAATTCTTTAATACCTTTACTTAAGTACTTGCTTTCATGTGATCCTTTTATTTTTACTTGAGTATTTTTTGCTCCGGTATCTGTACTTTTACTAGTACTGCTTCCACCACTGACCTCATATAATAAAGATAATAATAGTGCATTAGTCTACATCTATTTTCTAGATACTCAACGTCGCTTTACAATTAACAATTTTCGTTTTTATTTATTCACTCCATAGGCTGCTCAGTGGTGGTCAGCTAATATGATAGCCACAGCTGCCCTGGGGTAGATTGACGGAAGCGAGGCTGCCAATCTGCTCCATCGGCCCCTCCAACTCTCACACACTGCACTGGACGAGGTAGGTGTCTTAATAATAAATAATACATAACATTTCTATAGGGCTTTTCATGACAATTAAAGACACGTCACGTACCATAAATGAGGAAATGGATAAAAAAGGAGATGCAGTTTTTGTCTTGCCTAAAGACACAAGAACATTTTCCACTAAAACCACTATTCCCCCAGCAGTCCTCCTTCCAAGTACCAACCAGGCCCGAACCCATGATACAACTCCAGTCCATTTACAGGTGAATAATTCAGTCTGCACATGAGAAGTCCCAGATGTAAAAAGTGCCCCATGGCTAAACCTTATCTCCACACACACAATCACGCACAATCACACACAATCACACACACAAGCACACACAAACACTCCTGGATTCACTACTGCTTCAACGTCAGTCAAGGTTTCTGGAAAATATTTATTCAACGTGTGTCTATATTTAGTCTTTTTGTAGCCATAAACATTATGATCTCACTCAGCAGGTTTGTATTCCACTAAAGGGCAGCTTTAAAGGGCCACTGTGTAACTTTTCTGGATGGTTGGCTGCTGCTTGAGTCTCTATGGGGAAATTGTACACTTTTTCTATTTTCTGATCTGTTACAATGTTGTTTCCATGTTGTGTTTTGCTTCATTCACACATGTTTAACACACAAACCCTGCATATTTAGGCTATGTTTTTCTCTATTCCACCTTGTGACGTCATGTGGTAATACAGGAAGTGCTACAAAGTGCTTTTAAACTCCTTCACTAGAATCATTTGGATGTTTCAGCCCAGGCATTACCCATCTCTAATGAAGAAAAAGTAAAAGGTATCGCTGTTAACATGAAAACTACCGCTTTATGACATCACAAGGTGGAACAGAGCAATGCGAGCTTTGGAAATGTAGACAGACTACTAATAAGAAAGGGTTACTCAGACATGTTTGAACGAAACAGAACACGATTTTGGGTATATTTTTGAGGAGGCAACAACATTCTAACATGGCTTCACAGTGAGAAAGTTCAGTGCAGAGCTCTGAGGCACTTTTTAGGCGTGCACAAAAAGGCACCTAAACTTGTTCTGTATGGAGATATGGGCTGGGAACCATGTGAAGTGAAAATTTTTGAGAATGCGGATTTCCAGTTTATTTACAGAAATAAGTTAATCTGTAGTGTCAGACAAAAAAGGAACATTCACATTGATAAGTATAAACAAAAGTGGCACAATGAAATTTTATGTAAACCAAAATTAAGAACATATATCTAAATTAAAGACTGTTTTGGACCTGAGCCATAAGTCATCCTGAACCTGAGCAGAGGTCAGAGGTCAGTATGTGCCCAGCTGAGGTGTGGGAC